CACCATGGCCTCCCAAAGGGCTGGGATTACAATTGGAAAAGTCATTTTTAAATAAAGGTATTCTGACAATGGTTTATTTAAAGGAAAAAAGAAAATGGAACTATCGAGTGATCTTCCGTTAGAACCTTAACGTGCCACAGGTGAAGAGAGGAAATGCTGTGATTTCTGCATCTAACAAGCAAAACTGTCGAAGCCAAAACAGTGGCCGGTAGAAGAGGTTTCGTGGAAATGATCCGTTGTGGGTCCACAGCAGTTTGTTTCATTATCATGTTTCATAAGTTACATGTTTACAGATAGTTCTTCAAATGTTCTCAATGTTCTATTTTTTTAATCTAAAATAACTCAGTATGGGCAGAATTACCCGATTAAAATCGGTTTGCAAGGTGAGAAAGAAGCAGCCCTTTGAAGCTGGACTCACACTGTCTTTTGCAGATGAGGAAATGAGAAGTCAAGACAAGTGACCCTGTTAAGATTACACAGTTTGTGGCAAAATGACAGCCAGAGTAATTTCTCTCACAGGCGCAAAGCTTTTCCCCCAAATGAAATCAGATTTATACACTTTTATACTTGTTCGGGAGAAATACAGATTTTCAGTGCACCCATGTTCAAAGATACAAGTGTCATCAGAAAGAAGGAAAAGAACTTGGCATTTGTTGGGCTTCGAGTCTACTTGTGGGTTCCATGACTCATGATTCATCGAAAACTGAACTTGGAGGTCCAGGAACAAGACACATGCTGGCTGCACACTTCAGAGGTACTGACAGCTGAGAGATGCCTAGAAAAAGCCAACGGAACGGAGTTCTAGATGCATAAGTGACTGCTTATGGGCTTGGTTTGAGGCTTGTCACTGAAAACCAGTAGCTAGGACTGGCGTGGTGGCTGACACCTGTAATCCCAGCACTTTGGAAGGCCGAGGTGGGCGGATCACCTGAGGTTGGGAGTTTGAGACCAGCCTGATCAGCATAGTGAAACCCTGTCTTTACTAAAAATACAAAATAGCCGGGCGTGGTGGTGCACACCTGTAATTCCAGCTACTCGGGAGGCTGAGGCAGGAGAATCGCTTGAACCTGGGAGGCGGGGGTTGCAGTGAGCTGAGATCACGCCATTGCACTCCAGCCTGGGCAACAAGAGCAAAACCCAATCTGGAAAAAAAAAATCCACAAGATTACTTTCTCACAGGTGATTTTTGATACTGATTCACTGATTTAGAAGCAGTTACTCTCTGATTATGTGAGATCTAGTATCCATTCATTCAAATCTCTTTTATTGGAATGTTAAGATTCCCCCACAAAAAAATGAAGTTCAGATTCCTCAAACCTTTTAGAAAAATAAAACTTTCAGGTGATCCTCTCACCTCAGCCTCCCAAAGAGCTGAGATTACAAGTATAAGTTATTGCACCCAGCCACAAAAATAAAACTTTTAAACAAATGTAAACCATATTGAGGTACTTGAATATACACCAAGAGAGAAAGGTGTTGATGATGGGAAATCTGATCACAAATTAATTCAGCTCTTTCTGAAGATGAATTTGACTGTGTAAAATGAAGAGGCAGGTAAGTGTTTATGCCCTGTGACCCAGTAATTCTACTTCTAGGTTTCAGCAACTAAACAGTGGAGTAATTACATCGTTGTTATACTCCATTCGATGAGTTATGCAGCGATCTTTAAATGGCAAATATTAAAACTACATTTAAGTTCTTTGTAATGCATGTTAGACTGGAGAGTATTTTAAAATAGCTACTATATGATGTGTCAAAAATTGCAAGTGAGTCTTTTCCAAGACTTTTGACAATATTGCCTTGACACTACTTTTATAGTAGAAGAAAGGTTTCACCTTCCCATCCTGGGTGTATAAGCATAGAAGAAAATATAGGATAAACATTACAGTTTTCTTTGTGTTATTGAGACAGGGTCTCACCCTGGCTCAGGCTACACAGTACAGTGGCAAGCATAGCTCACTGCAGCCTCAAACTCCTGGGTACAAGTGATCCTCCAGCTCGGCCACCCGAGTAGCGGCTATAGGTGTGCATCACCACATCTGGCTTAAATTATTTTTGTAGAGATGGCAATCTTGTTATGTTGTCCAGGCTGGTCTTGAACTCCTGGCTTTAAGAAATCCTCCTGCCTCAGCCTCCTAAAGTACTGTGATTACAGGTGTAAGTCACTGCACAGGGCCCCATACTACAGTGCTAACATGTTATTGATTGGGTTTGGAGGGGAAGACAACTTTGTATCTTTTAAATTGTTTGAACTCTTAGTAGAAACTTTTGTTTTGTTTTGTTTGAGAAGGAATTTCGCTCTTGTTACACAGGCGGGAGTGCAATGGCGCCATCTCCGCTCACCGCAACCTCCACCTCCCGGGTTCAGGCAATTCTCCTGCCTCAGCCTCCCGAGTAGCTGGGACTACAGGCACTTGCCACCATGCCCAGCTAATTTTTTGTATTTTTAGTAGAGACGGGGTTTCACCATGTTGACCAGGATAGTCTCGATCTCTTGACCTCGTGATCCACCCGCCTCGGCCTCCCAAAGTGCTGGGATTACAGGCTTGAGCCACCGCACCCAGCCAGAAACTTTTTTTTTTTTAATGACAGAATTTAAAGTATTTAAAGCACTCATGCCCTTACCATAAAATACCATCACAAATTAGCGATTTGGCCCATACAAGTTAAACAATACTTAGTATCTCCCATCTACCATAGTGAGTGCCCAAAACACAGCAGCAGGTTTGGCTGAGTCTGTGCCGGACACCAGGCCGTCTGACTTGCTGGTAGACGGGTGTCGCCGTTTGTGTAGCAACATGAGGTATATCCCAGCAAGGCCACGAACGTGAGCAGAAACCTAATAACCACACTAGCAGCCTGTAAAACATCAAAAGAAAGCCGATCTTTGTATTCTTTTTTATTTATTAAAAAAAACTATTTTGGTGGTTAAATCCACTTTTCCTTCTAAGTAGCTTTTTGGGTAATTTCCAAAGTTATCCATAAAAAGCCCTTTCTCCCAACAGAAAGGAAAGCATTTGACAGGAAAACATTGACGGGCTCCGGGGTCCCAAGACGTGCACCAGACGCCGAGTGTTCAGACAGAATGGGCGACTCTAATTCCAGTCTTGGGAGTACAAAGAGGTAAGTGAATAAGAATTATCCAAAGAAGCTGAAGCATTCATTGTTTCTTCACTCTTAGTTGAGGTCTCTGAGAGGTACGTTTATAGATTTAAAAAGATTCAAGGAAGCTGTGTGGAACAAACCCCTCCAAAGGATCTCAAACACAAGGTTATCCTCGGGAGGAAACGCCGGGAGACTAGGGTCTAGGGGTCAAAGGTCGCTCGAGTTGCTTCTTATCTCATGAAAGGGAAGAATTGCTTGTTCCTCTAAGATAACTGAGAGTAAGTGAAGCAAACTTAAGAACTATTTTTAAAATTATAAACAGTAAGCAATTGTTTTAAAACTCAATTACCTACCCAAATAGTGATAGCATTGTTCATAATCGCTTAAAAAGTACACAAAAAATCCTAAATGTTCCTCAATGGATGAGTGGATAAAGAAAACACAGTATTATCCATACAATGCAATATTACTTATCTATAAAAAAGTACTGATCTATGCTAAAAGATGGATGAACCTTGAAAACGGACTCCTAGTACAAGAAGCCAGTACAAGACCGCATTCCAGTTATGTAAAATGCACGGAAGGGGGAACCCAGGGACACACATACATTAATGGGTGCCTAGGGTGGGAAGGGTTTATACAATTTGGTTTCTTTCTGGGATGTTGAAATGGCCTAAGATTACAGTGATGGTTGCAAAACTCTTTAATATATTGAAAACCACAGAACTATAAATGAATCTTATGGTATGTCAACTGTATCTCCATAAACTCTCAGGAAAAGAATTCATTACTAGCTGCCTGGTTTTAAAAAATAAAATCTTCCTGCCTCTCAAGAGTAGCTGAAAAGAAAAATAAAATTTACAAACGTAAGACTAATTATGTTTAGTGGAGGAAAAAGCTAGGATAACATAATATTAAACAATTCGCTTACCTGAGAGTTCTCCAGTTAAGAGTCAAATAGATGCCAAATCCAGTTATGCCTTCAAAAAATTTCACGCGTTGACCTAACAGTTCAAAACTCCAAATGCATAGCATTTTATTATTAAGCATGTAACATAAATGCCTTTTAATTCTTGAGAGCTGTTATCAAATATTTCCATGATTAATCTGTGAAATTGGAAGTCTCACTTTCTAGTGATTTTACATGTAGTACATTCTGAGGTCACTGAAGAAAGTTAACCTGTACAGATCTATACGGTCATTGCATCAGAAATATTTCTTTTTAAATGACAGGATTTAAAGTATTTTCGGAACATACTCATGCCCTTGCCATAGAATTCAATCACGAATTGGGGATTTGGCCTAACTTTAAAAAGTTAACCTGGACTTATCTATGTGGTACCTGCGTCAGAGGGCTCAGAGCAGCTCTTCTGCAGGCTCAACCTAGGAATATCTAAAAAAAGATGCAACAAGAAAGCGCTCTTTGGAAAACTGCATTGGTCTAAATTAGTCTGACTGGCAGGCCTCAGCTGGATTCATAGAACCAGTGGCACCTGGCGTGTAATGAGCAGAGCTAAAGGGGCATAGCCCAGAAACCTGTATGTGAGATAATCTCCCTGGATGCTGACATTGCCAGTTCAGGGTATTGTGTTCCTGGGAATTACACTTAGCTCACTAACAGGAGGGCAGTTGAAATAAGGGAGGGGCTGCCCTTCACTGGTTACATCATCTTTAAATTCCTGATTTCCGACAGATGTAGCATCTTACAGAAAAACAGAAACTGTTGAAGCAGTGTCAAAACATCTTAACTGTGATGAACACGAGATTAATATACCAAACGTGTTTTATGTTCTGCTGGGACAGGAAAGAAGACTTTTCAATCAGGAGCACACCTTTGAAAGTCCTTAAAATGTAATCTTTGGTCTCTAGTCAAGAGAATAATGGAGTCTTAGGAGGAATATTTAAATTGAATTTAATTAAATACAAATGTCACATACTTCCACCTTCCCAGAAATGGTCACTTCATCTTAATTAAGGAAATGGAAACTAACGATGACTTAAGTCTTATCCCGTGGAATGTGTTTAGACAAGTTCGGGCAAACATCGAAAACTGAGACGTCCCCACCACCGTACCTACAACGTTCTGAAAATGCTTGAAATTAACTCCATTCTTTGTCTAGCGGTTCAATATGAACTGCCAAAATTTAGTCCAATTAGTCAGTTCCAAATAATGTAGGCTTTTCGGAACCTAGAACCATGGGGTGGTGACAGTTCTCCTTCGACAGTGGACCCGGACATGCAGGATCTCCTCTTTCAAATTCCTTCAGCTGGCTTGGGCAACTCTGGCTTCAGATCCGTGGAGGTTCAACATGGTGGTCACCAACTCGGGAAGGTCAAAGTCATGTTTCCATCCCCAGTCCTTCCGAGCATTGCTGTCATCGAAGTTCATCGGCCAACTATCCGCTAGGGAAAGATATGGAAGAGTAGCTTCAGTTATTCGCGTTGTGGATTTGCAAAAAGGTCTTGACCGTTTTACATAAAGGTCTATCGTCCAAGGTACGAAACGGGAAATTCCTTCGAGTAAAGCAGAACCACTATTGTGTACAGTCACCCTCTTAGGGCAGAAGACCGTTAACCCATCTTTTGTCAGGCACTGTGAATTTTCACTCATTATTAAAATCTCACACAATTCCATGAGGTTTTATACTCAAAGAGGTGCTTCCGCCCACAAATTGGCAACGTTACAGTATTTGGAAACCCGGGCTGTCTTCCTACCACCTCTGTTGCTTCTATTTTTCCTAGCTTTATGTTTAAACCGTAAAAAATGATTAAAGGCTAACAAGCTGTTTATTTGGAATGAAATTATTTCACCCACTTTCGATATCATTCCACCAAAATCAAAGCATCTGCTGGCTTGGGCTCAACAATTTCTTGAGCTCAGCTTCTTCTCCAAAACATGCCTGGACCCTAGGGAAGGATCTAGGCTCTCCTTATCCTCGCAAGGTTTATGTCTTCCAGGAACTCACAGTAAAGGCCGGGTACCAACCGATGGCCTGCCGGATGGCGTCCACGTTGTACGTGATCTGGAACTCTGGCACGTGCTTGAGGACCTCCTGGGCCAGCTCCTCGGGCGTGAAACTCATGGCACCGACGTTGTAGGTCCTCATGGAGAGGGACTCGGCGGGGGCCTCCATGACCTCCAGGGTGGCCCTGAGACAGTCATCAATATACATCATCGGCAGCCTCGTGTGGGCTTCCAGGTTGCACTCGAATTTGCCATGCTTTGTGGCATCATGAAAAATCTGGACTGCATAGTCTGAAAGGGAATCCCATGTGTGGGTTAGAACAAAACAATGAACAAGCCTCTTGGACCAAGGCAGCAGTTCTCAAATGTTCTCGTCTCAGAGCCTTTTTCACACCACATTCTTAAAAATTGACAACTCCAGCCAAGTGCAATGACTCACGCCTGTAGTCCCAGCACTGTGGGAGGCTGAGGCAGGCAGATCACCTCAGATCAGGAGTTCAAGACCAGCCTGTCCAACATGGTAAAACCCTGTCTCTACTAAAAATACAAAAATTAGCCAGGTGTGATGGCATGTGCCTGTAATCAATCCCAGCTGCTTGGGAGGCTGAGGCATGAGAATGACTCAAACCCAGGACATGGAGGTTGCAGTGAGCCAAGATCACACCACTGCACTCACACCCAAACAACAGAGCAAGACTCCATCTCCAAAACTAAAAAAAAATTGAGAACTCCAAAAGAGATCTAATGTGGGTTATATCAATACTTACTGTACCAAGTTAACTGAGAATTGTTTAGAATATTACCTTTTAAAATGACAACAAACCTATCATATATTAATATGTATAACATTTTATAGGACAAAGTATATTTTCTGAACAAACAAAATTTACTGAGAAGGACGGTCTGTTGTACATTCTAAAAATCTCTTTAGGGTCTGGCTTGATAGGGGTCCGCTGGGACAGGTCCCAACCTGTGTCCATATCCAGTCCGTTCCTATCTCACACGCCATGCCACCTCTGGAAAACTCCACAATGCCTTTGTGAAAGGAGAGCGAAAAAGGCCAGTAATGTCTCCATACTGATTAAGAGTTTTGACCCCCAAGACCCCGTGAAAGTGTCTTAAGGATGCCTGGGGCTCCCCATATTCTCTCTCAGGACTGCAGATGTTGGAAGGACACCTGATGTGGGACTTAAGAGCAGAACGAGTGTTTGAGTCCAAAATAACAACCATACTTACGTTCCTTTCACATACACAAAGCGTGGAGTGGATTTTAATAGGGCTCTCTCTGTGTGTCAAGAAACAAGAGGCTGCTGCTTACTGGGGGGGTCTTCCTACATCGTCGGTAACAGATTTGTTCTTGAATATTACGTTTTATTCTAGCACTGTGGGTGGCAAATCTTGAGCTGGACCGACAATGCCAGCATGCGCTACCCTTAGCGAGCGTAAGCCAGTCAGGTTCACGGTGCTTTTCAAATGGCCGTCAGAAGACAATACAGAAACTCCGGTCAGCATACTTCTAAAAAGGCAGCAAATTCGTGGCTGGGCATGGTGGGACTCACACCTGTAATCCCAGCACTTTGAGAGGCCAAGGTAGGCGAATCACGATATCAGGAGATTGAGACCATCCTGGCCAACAGGGTGAAACCCTGTCTTTAGTAAAATACAAAAAAAATCAGCTGGATGTGGTGGCATGCACCTCTAGTCCCAGCTACTCGGGAGGCTGAGGCAGGGGAATCACTTGAACCCAGGAGGCAGGGGTTGCAGAGAGCCAAGATCACACCATTACGACAGAGCAAGACTCTGTTTCAAAAAAAAAAAAAAAGATAGCAATTTCATTTATCACAAAGACAACTCCTCTTAGCAATAAGTCAATCTATTTTTGTTTGTTTGTTTTTTGAGACAAGGTCTTACTCTGACACCCACACTGGAGTGCAGTGGCACGATCTTGGCCTTGGCCTTCTGTGTTCAAGAGACCCTCCTGCCTCAGCCTCCAAGTAGCTCGGACTACAAGTGCGGGTCATCATGCCTGGCTAATTTTTGTTTATTTTTTGTAGAGACAAGGTCTCACTTGTCTTGAACTCCTGCCTCAGCCTCCCAAAGTGCTGGGATTACAAGCATGAGCCGCCACACCTGGCCCGAAAGCCTATCCAACATCTAAGGGACACAAGAAATAGAAAACAACACTTAACCAGTTGTTCCTCCTCCAGGCTGGGAGTCAGCTGAAATGATTCCAGGATATCTCAGGCACCGGAAATCTAACCCATACCGGTAATGGTAATACTGTAAGAAAGAGAAAATATATTCAAACACAGATATTTTAAATCAGATAGATGAAAAAACAAAACCAAACAAAAGCCTGCCTTTCTCTGAAATGTCATTCCATGCAGTTATATTTAAATATTCCCAAAGAAAATAAAGACTCCTAAGTTTTTATCTTTAAAAAAAATCAACTTTTGGGTGACACATCAATGCTGAAATAACACATTAGCCTACAGTAGGGATTTCCAGCCTCTCTCTGCAAAGGCGCCACTGATCATCGTCCTAAACGATTCTGCATGAGTACATTCCCACACGCGGGCGGGGGAAGAGCAGAGGAGAGAACAGCGGATGAGAGGGCGATGGCTATGGCGGAGCTGGAGGAGAGGCAGCAACTAAATCCACGAGAGTTACAAAGATAAAGAGTATTTTACAGTAGTTCACACCTATAATCCCAGCACTTTGGGATGCTGAAGTGGGTGAATCACTTGAGGTCAGAAGTTTGAGACCAGCCTGGCCAACATGGCAAAACACTCACTACCTTTACGAAAAATACAAAATTTAGCTGGGCATGGTAGTGTGTGCCTATAACCCCAGCTACTTGGGAGGCTAAGGCATGAGAATCCCTTGAAGCCAGGAGATGGAGGTTGCTATAAGCTGAGATCAGGCCTCTGCACTCCAGCCTGGGTGACAGAGCAAGTCTCTGTCTCAAAAAACAAAAACCCAGTAAGATGTTTGAAGTTTTCTGTAACTTTTAGAGTTACTAGCAATGGCTACCAATACTGGAAGCCAGAAAGGATGGTGGGGTGCAAGTAAAACAAGCAGCAACTGAAGAGATGCGGGCTGTGCTTGGGGCACCCCGGAAATGCTGAGTGTTCCCATACAGCTGTGGAAAGGTGGCCTGCCAGGGCTGAGGAGGCTGCAGGAGCTGGAGACACCTGCCACCTGGCAAACCCAGTGAGTTAAGTAAACGACTCTGGGGCTGGGATCCAGGGAGAGGTCAAGTTCCTCCAAGGATGAATCAGCAGGCATTGGAGGCAGAAAGAATGAGAAAGCAAACAACAAATCGTGTAGCCCAGGCACGTTCAGCAATCTTGCCGAATGATGCTTACTTCTCCCATGAGCTCCGCGTGGACCTTGGACACCCCATAGATGGTCCTGGGTCTCTGAATACAGAGATCGGGGGCTGGGTTCCGGGGAGAGGTGGGTCCAAAAGCTCCGATCGTGCTAGGTACAAACAATCGCAGACTGTGTTCCGCAGCGACGTCCAGGATGTTATGCAGGCCTGAGATGGACAGAAACGATCAGAGTCTGAAAGCATCTCTTCCTAAAGAACCAGAAAAACTGGCAAACAAACCACACCCAGCCAGAGCCAGGTGCTTACCAGTTATATTCACTGCTCTCGCCAGGGAAACGTTTGCTTCTCCAACGGCGCTGAGCAAAGCGCTGTAATGAAACAGCCAGGTGATGCGCTTGTTCACCACGATCTCCCGAAGACTCTTGTAATCCAAGATATCAGAATAAATGAACGGACCTGCAACAAACATACATTGGAACCACGAATGTGAAAAGGGCGGCGGTTTGAAGAACTAAATGGACCTTTTCCCTTTCCCCCATTGACTTGTGAATTTCACTGGTAGCCATGTGGTGACTAAGCCAGCTGGGCACTAGGCAGCATTTTTCGTACACAAGAATCACAAGTCATAACCACACCCCAAGGTAGTGACAGCAAATGATCCTATAGGACCTGCCTGGGCCAGGCCCTGTTCTAAGGACTTTGGGTACATTTCTCTCCCACACAGCCTTGGAGGTAAACACATTTTACTGATGGGGAAACAGGCACAGAGAGCTTCAGCAACCTGCCAGGATCAGAGAACAAGAGGCAGAATTAGGGGTGCAGCCAGGCATCGGGCTCCAGAGTGGGTGCTGTTCCTCCCAGCCCTGTATGCACAGAGTGGCTTCACTTTGCCTCCAAGGTGCACGTTTGAAAAGGAACAGAGAAATGCACTTATTAAACACCACCACCACCGTCGTATAGAAGAGCCAAAATCATGAGTTCATCACACTTAATTACACAGAGGTAAAGTTGATCTTGTTCTGTGCCAATTTTCCCCACTTACAGCAAACTGTCACTTTTCCCCATGGTGAGCAGCAAAAGGCTGACGCTGAACCAGGAAAAACTAGGGGGGCATCACAAAACCTTATTTTAGGGGCAGCGGGGACAGTCTCACTCTGTCGCTCAAGTCGGAGTGCAGTGATACAATCAGTCACTAGAGCCTCCATCTCCTGGACCCACACAGTCCTCCCAAGTAGGTAGGACTACAGGCACCTGCCACCATGCCCAGCTCATTTTGTATTTCTTGTGGACAGGATCTCACTATATTGCCCAGGCTAGTCTTGAACTCCTGGGCCCAAGTGATCCTCCCAAGGTCAGCCTCCCGAATTGCTGGGATTACAGGTGTGAGGCACCATGCCTGGTCACAAAAACATTTCTGAAGCAGTAAGAAAACCTGACTAAAAGAGCTTGAGTCTCTGTGTGTGTGTGTGTGTGTGTGTGTGTGTGTGTGTCATAGTTTTTGAGTTTCTGTATGTGTGTGTGTGTCATAGTTTGTGTGTGTGTGTGTCACAGTTTTTGAGTTTGTGTGTGTGTATGTGTCATAGTTTTTGAGTTTGTGTATGTGTGTGTGTGTGTGTCACAGTTTTTGAGTTTGTGTATGTGTGTGTGTGTGTGTGTGTCATAGTTTTTGAGTTTGTGTATGTGTGTGTGTGTGTCATAGTTTTTGAGTTTGTGTATGTGTGTGTGTGTGTGTGTGTGTGTGTGTGTTTGTGTGTCATAGTTTAACAGCATTTCTACACTGTAACAACATCAGGATTAATTTCTCCAAATTTTTTTTCTTTTTTTTTTGTCATATCCCCCTTACTTCTGCAAATTTCTCCAAATTTCTAAAGTTCCTTCTCTTCAATACAGAACTTAGTTTTTGTTTGTATTCTCTCCAAGTCAATAAGTTAACTTTGAACCCAGAAAGACAGGAAACAAAGTTTTTATTTCAAATAACATCAAAAGATATTATTCCAAAAACTTTAAGGTCAAAAGAACTCTCCTGTTCTTTTATCACTTGAACAAGCAGCAGCATTAAAAAATATTTATTTTTAAGCGAAATACCAGTGCCTCGATAACTTCTCTTTGAGTCATAAACTGGGCTGTGAGCTGTTGCACCCACCAACTGCATGAGCCACCTCTCTGTGCGGTGAACATTAAAAATAAAAGCAAGGCCTACTGATCTCTTACCACTGTGAAAGACATGATCGGGTGGTTTCTTTATGTCAGACAAAATCACACTGTCCTTCCCGAATCGTTTCCTAAAGGGAAAATCATACACACAAGTTGGCAATATTAAGATGCAATGAGTCCTGTGAAAAGCCTTTTAAAATAAGAACTGTAATTTTCTGCCAGCTTCCAAGTCTCTACTTCCTCTTCATCCTCAACTCACCACCTTCAGCTCTTGCCTCTCTCACTCTCGGGCTTCTATTTCCCTGCCCATGGCTCTGTCTTCTATGTCTCCTCTCACCTGACTGTTAATCCCGTGTTTGTCTACAATTTCTTCCCCTTACGCTCTAGAGTTTTTTACGTCTTCCTTCTCATTCTTCTCTCCCCTCTGCTTATTCTCTTATCCCATTCTCTCCAAATCCCACACGGTTCCCTTCCAGTTTGTGCCTGTACTTCCCTTGGTTCCCAAACAACTAAAAGTGAAAGTGATTCTTAGGGAGCTGTGTGTCTCATTTTGCCTACGGTAGGAAACAGAGAGAGAGGAGAGCAAAGGACCAGTCTGGAGATGTTGGGTCAAGGGCTTGCAACAAGTCTCTGATATTCAGAGGCAAAATAAAATGTGTTTAAGGCTGGGCACAGTGGCTCATGTCTGCAATCCCAGGACTTTGGGAAGGTGAGGTGGACAGATTGCCTGAGGTCCAGCCAGCCTGGGCAACACAGTGAGAACCCATCTCTACCAAAACTACAAAAAATTATCCAGACGTGGTGGCACGTGCCTGTAGTCCCAGCTATTCGGGAGGCTGAGGCATGAGAATCTCTTGAACCCAGGAGGTGGAGGTTACAGTGAGCTCAGATTGCACCACTGCACTCCAGCCTGGGTGACAGAGTGAGGCTCCATCTCAAAAAAGTATATACATATTTTAAGCAGTTATTTAGATATATCTTAATGCTAAGGAGCAAGAAGAGAGAGAAAAGATGTTTAAAAGGCATCACAGATGAGCTCCACCTACTTAAGAACTCAGATTTTAAATTTCAAATTTTTAGGGTTCTTACCTCAAAAGATTAGCAAGCCCCACTCCCAGCTGGCCAAGACCCCCTAGATGAAGAAGAAAAAAAAAAGGGAAGCTTTAATGCACATCTAACCAGTTCGATTACTATTCCCAGAATGTAATAACTAGTTTTCAGTCTTAGCTAACTAGGCAAGTCCTAGGTTGAGCTGATGTAACTCCTGCTTATTTCCAAACTTCCAAGGAACATGGTGCAGCACTTGCAAATGCGATGACCTCCCCAGGCTAGGACAGAGAGCAATACAGGTAATATTGGTTTCAGAGGCAACACGCTTGCCAGCATGGGATGGTTCAGAGAAAGAGGAGAAGCGAAGGCATAAGAAGAAAATCTCATGAGAGCCAGACACAAGTCTGGAATTTCTCGGGGCAGAAACTCACTCTTGGCCTTCATTATTTTGATCAACTCTGAAGTTTGTCTGCTATGGGTGACAAAATCATTCAAAACCAATATAAACAGATTAATAGCTACCTCTGGTGAGATTAGCCAGAATCCCATTTTCCATTGTAACTGGACTGGGATATGAAAGGGCAAAGAGGGAGGGAGAAACCAAGAAGCCATTTGGAAAAAAAGAGTAGACAACTGCAAGGTGGCACTGAGAAATTACAATGAATAGTACGGCTTCTAGTGTGATGGCTTAAACGTGCCATTGACATAAACGGGAGGGAAGTGGGCTAGGAGCACCTCTGGAAAAGGACAACAGTCCGTTTCATTTGGGAGAAATAGATGAGGCAGGAAGATACAAAAGTGGGATTTCCTGTAAGCATTTATTAACTTGGGAATAAAACCAGGACACCCTGAAAGATGCATTATTAGTGGAGGTGAGACGGAATAAAACAAACACTTGGACAACATGATAGGTAAATCAGGAGAAAGGCACAGAGGGCAATCGAAGCTTGAAACTTATTTCAGCATCAGAAGCAGAGAAGGCGGTAAAAGCAGCGCGCACACACACACACACACACACACACACACTGAGAAGGCTGATGCTGTAAAACCAAGGAAAAGAAAGCCTGGCAAGAAAGAGAAAGAAATAAAACAAGTCCATCAAACTGGAGGCTGGAAGCGACAGAGTAAAGTGTGGAATGAGAAGGACACGGAATCAGGTGCTGAACATACTGAGGTGAGGATGTTCAGGGAGCAAGTCACTGGCAATGATGAGCTCAATGGCGACGATGAGCTCGAGGACAACGGTGAGCGCCATGGCAACAAGCCCCTTGGCCAGATGCTAAACTTAACTTCTCTATTTCCAACAGGCAAATGTGCAATAACAGTTTGGGATTAACGACTCTGAGTTTAGGCTGAGGAATCTGGCCAGGAAAAGGCGTGCCTAACACCAGAATCAATGTTCTAGCCCCAGCACCTTCCTGTAACTAGCCTTTGCTCCCTAGACTGATCCTAATATGCAAGGGAACCAAGTTCCAGAGCAGCTATCTAGGGTTCCTAGATGCCTTCGGACAATAAAAATAATTATGACAGGGAAAACCAACTGCTGGCAACAGTGATGAAATAAGGATTTGGATTTGCAAAATTCTAAAAACAAAAAAAAAGCCAATAGTGAAAAAGGCAGTGTCTGATCAATAAGATCAGCTGCCCTAATTTAATACTTTGTATTATAAAATACCTAATTCTGAAATCGTTTTAATAGTGCAAACAATAAATCCAAATTCTGTCATCCCAAGCCTGGTTTTGCTGCATTACTGGCGACAGGGACAAGCAGTGTAATTCGGATAGCATATTACGCATTCCGAAAACAAAGGCGCAGCCACATAGCACAGGAAAGAAAGGAAGAATCAAGCCATGGAAGTAAAAGACACAAAGAAAAGAGAAGAAAATCCAACCTGTAATTAAGACTCGTGGATGGTCTGTGTCAGAGAAAGAGGCAGAGTGGAAGTTAGCATCTGCTGGAATCTGCCGAGGGGAGATGCCCAGAAATCGGACTGGCAGGACAGACGTCCAACAGCATCCTCGCCTCAGCATCCTCATGAATGGCATTTTCTTTTCAAATACCTTGTGGGAAGAAAATGAGCAGCGTTAATGGTGTGACCTTTTATCCCTCCAGCTCTTCAAAACAAACTCTTCAACTGAAATGAACACTATGATTGTCAGCTAATGGGCAAAGCTGTGGTTTTAGATTCAGGAATGCAATGAAAGAGACTGCTGAGCTCGCCGATGGGAAGCCAGTCAAGGGCTTCCCGTGGGCCAGGCCCTGTGATAAAGGGATAAAGTGTTGCTCACACAACGTCTGGCCGAACAAAGGCTGAACTGAGATTCAGAATTGACACAGCACAGCGCTGACACCAGCTGGGATCTAATGCAATGGAGGCAGTTACCGCACAGAGAACCTGCACATGACAGAGACGAAGTCAGTGGACCCTAGTGAAGGCTTTAAGTCTTGATACAACTGTTACCAACTTGTCCACCACGCCTGGGGATACAAACAGGTCCCAGATTAGACACACAGTGCCCTATACACTTTGTGTTGAAGCTCACATGTTATCTTTACAATGAACCAACCTAGAAAAGCAGAGGTTTCAGATAAAAAGGCTCGCAGCAATACTTAGGAAGCTGTGAAGAGGTTTCGTTTTACCATCATCTCTGGAGAGAGGGTCATGCAGAAAAGCCATTTTCTTATTGTTTCAAAGATCACGTAATTTTTATTTTGTTTTTTATTGTATTACTATCATACTTTAAGTTCTGGGGCACATGTGCAGAAAGTGCAAGTTTTTTACATAGGTATACACGTCGAAAAGTGGCCAAAGGATACGAACGGATACTTTTCAAAAGAATACCTAACCATTTAATCTACCTCCACCTCCTCATCAGCCTTAGCTCCAGCTGACCATGAAATCAGTCTTGGCCTTGGAGGTCAACATGGTCCAGCCACATACAGCTTGAGACTGCCATGTTCCTCAACCTGTCCCCAACACCCAGGCAGGCACATTGTAAGAGTAAACCAGAGTGTCCAGCTTGCTTTACTGGGTCTAACAGCATACCACCCGCCCTCCCTACAGGCAGGCCTATTGCATACTGCACACCGACCTGCGGCCTCTACCCTCTCACCCACTGGAAGATCTTTTACAACAGAAAAGGCAGATGAGCTTCAAAGCCAACTCAGGTGTCCCATCCCCTCAAGCATCTTCTATTTTGCGTTATAAATGGAGAAAAGGTTAAAAAACAAACAAACCACACACACAGACGTTGCCTGGAAGATCCAAACTTACAGGAGGGTACTCAGTGCCTCAAGTAGATTTAAGAAAGTGATTCCAAGTTAAATGCCAGAGGTAGCAGAAGCTTTCTTGCAATCCCTAATCATACCAAAACCCAAATTACAGCAAACAAAAGGAAAATAAGGTCCTTTCAAAAATACACACTTTCTTGGTCATGAGGGTTCACGGGAAAGGCCTGAGCTCTTCTCCTCAAGCAGCCCTTAAAGGAACACTAAGTGTAGCCACTGCTGGCACCTGAAACCAGTTAAGAACTTAGATTCTTACAGTCACTTATTTCTGCAAGTGCAAAGGGATACTGAGGAAGCCCAGAGACAGTATTTCCCAGAACATCTGAAACTGAAAGACAATTCCCAAAAGCAAAATAATGAAAGGCCACAGTTAAAAAGGGTTTGTTCAAATTTACAAGAAAAAAAAAAACCCTATCAAAAAGTGGACAGACACTTTTCAAAACAAGACATTTATGCAGCCAACAAACATGAGAAAAAGCTCATCGTCACTGGTCATCAGAGAGATGCAGATCAAAACCACACTGAGACACCATCTCACACCAGTTACAATGTCAGTCATGAAAAAATCTGGAGACAACAGATGCTGGAGAGAAGGTGGAGAAATAGGAACACTTTTACCCTGTTGGTGGGAATGTAAATTAGTTCAACCATTGTGGAAGACAGTGTGGCGATTCCTGAAGAATCTAGAAATAGAAATACAATTTGACCCAGCAATCCCACTACTGGATATATACCCAAAGGGATAAATCATTCTATTATAAAGACACATGCACACACATGTTCACTGCAGTACTGTTTACAAGAGCAAAGATTTGGACAACCCAAAGGCCCATCAGTGATAGACTGGATAAAGAAAACATGGCACATATACAGCACGGAATACTATGCAGCCATAAAAAAGGATGAGTTCATGTCGTTTTCAGGGACATGAAGCTGGAAACCACCATTCTCAGCAAACTGACACAAGAACAGAAAACCAAACACTGCATGTTCTCACTCATAAGTGGGTGTTGAACAATGAGAACACATGGACCCAGGGAGGGGAACATCAGACACTGGGGCCCGTTGGGGGGGTTAGGAGGCTAGGGGAGGGATAGCAGGAGGTGGGGAGATTGGGGAGGGATAACATTAGGAGAAATACCTAAAGTAGGTGACTGGGGGGGGGGTGGATGCAGCAAACCACTATGTCATGTGTATACCTATGTAACAATCCTGCATGATCTGCACATGTACCCCAGAACTTAAAGTATAATAATTAAGAAAAAAAAAGTACAGATGAACTCTAAAAAAAAGGGGGGGGATTTGTTTCATATTTTGTTTTAAAGATTGAAAAGACTAGAGCTGCAGGGGAAAGCAAATCCTGAAGATATGAAACAGGTACAACCATATGCATCTCTTCTCTCCACAAAGGGAACTTGAAGGAGGCACCCAACAAGTTGTTAACTGAATGTGAAGTTTCAGTTCAACGACATGGACGGTGTGTAATGGAGTTGGTTCTTCTTATTCCACTATTAGCAGGTCACATCTTTCGCTGTTTATATGCCACAAGCTGGTGAGTGATTAACTGTACTATCCCAAGAACTCCTGCCCTAGAAAACCCAGTTCTTCACCACCTCGCGGCAATGCTGCCTGTTAACAATGCATGGGTATTAAAACCAAACGTAAAGAGCCTCCTACCACCTGCAGCATGTAGCTTTCCTTCTTGGTCCTGCCAAGTTGAACTTAATACTCTTAAGACAGCAGTTCCCTAATTTTTGGGTCTTTCATTTTTTGGTCTTAAAACTTCTTTATACTCTTAAAAATGGAGAACTCCAAGGAGCTACTGTTTATGTGGGTTATAGCTATTAATGTTTAGTGTGTTAGAAATCAAAACACATAAATGTTTAACATCTTTATTAATTGACTTAAAAACAATAAACATGTTAACAAACATCACTATTAAAGTAGCTCAGTTTTTGGGAGGCTGAGGCGGAACTGCTTGAACCTGGGAGGTGGAGGTTGCAGTGAGACAAGATGGCGCCACCACACTGGACTCCAGCCTGGGACACATAGCAAGACTCCATCTCAAACCAACAAAAAAAACCGTATTTTCCAAAACAAAAAATATTTAGTGCAAGGAGTGCCATTATTTTAAACTCTATGCTTCTCTTTGACAAAAAAAAAAAAAAAAAAGCTGGATTTTCACTTCTGTTTCTGCAATTTGTTGCTCTAATTGAAAAAAAAAATCAAAACACAGCAAAGCAATGAAAAGGTAATGGTATTTTATTCATTTTTCAAATAATTCTGGATATTCATCTTTGATACCACTCCAAAACTCAATGCATCAGTGTTCTTACAGGTTAGTTGTGATGAGGAATGTAAAAACTTATCAATAAACTTTTTGTACTTTGCTACAATAAAACTTACTTTAGGGGCCAGGCATGGTGGCTCACGCCTGTAATCCCAGCACTTTCGGAGGCCGAGGCGGGTGGATCAGGAGGTCAAGAGATCAAGACCATCCTGGTCAACATGGTGAAACCTCATCTCTACTAAAAATACAAAAAATTAGCTGGGCATGGTGGCACGTGCCTGTAATCCCAGCTACTCAGGAGGCTGAGTCAGGAGAATTGCCTGAACCCAGGAGGCAGAGGTTGCGGTGAGCTGAGATGGCACCATCGCACTCCAGCCTGGGTAACAAGAGTGAAACTCCGTCTCAAAAAAAAAAAAAAAACCTTGCTTTAAATCAGTGGTCTCCAACCTTTTTGGCACCAGGGACCAGTTTTGTGGAAGACAATTTCCATGGACTGGGAGGAAGCAGGATGGTTTTGGAATGATTCGAGCATGTTACATTTATTGTGCACGTTATTTCTATTATTATCGCATTGTAAGATATAGTAATTATACAACTCAACATAATCTACAATCCATGGGAGCCCTGAGCATGTTTTTCTTAACTAGAGAGTCCCATCTAGTAGCAGATCATCAAGCATTAGATTCTCATAAGAAGCATGCAACCTAGATCCCTCCCATGTGCAGTTCACAATAGGATTCATGCTTCTGTGAGACTCTAATGCCGCAGCTTATCTGACAGGAGGCAGAGCTCAGGCAAGCAATGAGGAGGGGCTGTAAATACGGACAAAGCTTTGTTCACTCAATCACTGCTGCTCACCTCCCGCTGGGCAGCCTGGTTCCCACAGGCCACGGGGCAAGCACTGCTCTAAATGGATCTTTTAGCCCTGCTTGACTCTGTACATGTTAGTCTTTTCGAAAATATTAGTTAAGTAATGCACATTGTCTGAAGATTAACACACTTCACTATATAGTATTAAAAAGTCCGGCTGGGCACGGTGGCTCACGCCTGTAATCCCAGCACTTTGGGAGGCCGAGGCGGGTGGATCACGAGGTCAGCAGATTGAGACCATCCTGGTCAACATGGTGAAACCCCGTCTCTACTAAAAATACAAAAAATTAGCTTGGCATGGTGGCGCATGCCTGTAATCCTAGCTACTCAGGAGGCTGAGGCAGAAGAATTGCCTGAACCCAGGAGGTGGAGGCTGAGGTGAGCCAAGATCATGCCATTGCACTCCAGCCTGGGTAACAAGAGCGAAACTCCATCTCCAAAAAAAAAAAAATCCTACTAGTTCACATCACCACTGATCTCATCAGAAAATTCCTTAGTATGGGGCAGCTGTCAAACTCATGGGTAAATACAAATTCATTGGCAACAAACACTGTTAGTTGTTTCCTTGAGGTGACAGGCTCACTTTGTTCATGTTTCAGAATTTGTCTGAGTTATCCATACCCATTGTTTGTCAGTCATTCTGTCAAGCAAAAATGGTTTTTCTATAAAGAAAAGTGGCCAGTTCAGCTCACAATTCAATCACACACGGCTTTACCTGAAGACAACCATTGTACTTTGAAACATGTAACAGAAGCTCTTTATGAGCACATCCCTGCATTATACAGCATATCAGAGAGATACACACTCATAAGTCAAGATTTAATCAATTAGCCAATAATTTAGCCAATTATTTGTACTGTTTCATCAGGGACATTCTTAAGGAAAGCTGGCAATTTTCTCTTATTTTTTATTAAAAGCATATGGCAGTGAAGAATACAGTGATGATCACAACAGCTTGGCACCGCTGCCTTGATTTGCACAAGGCCATCAGGAGTTTTACCCAGCATTGTTCTGGCACCATCAATGCAAATTCAATGCACTTGTTCCAGAATGAACACCGAAATTCAAAAAGTTGTTCAACACTTTGAATACCTTGGCACTACTCATGTTTGCTCCCAAACATTCACTAAAAAGATACTTTCTATTGTAAAGATAAAGGATTGTACATTGTATTACATATTACAATAAAAAGATTACCTAAAAAGGTATTGATCGGCTTGGTGCTGATACCAGAAGAATACAAGCAAAATGGCAACTCCAGGCTTTCTTCCATTTGTAAGGCAGAAATACACTCCTGTGGTCAACATACCAACTGGGTCTTCATGTTTCAGCTGGATCTTTCATTTGACGGAAAGTTGAAGCACTATGAGCCCTTCCAATGCATTTTCATCTAAACAAGGCTTACTGTGTCTTTCTGCAATCAATGCAACTTGATCATTTATCCTGCTTTATGCTTCAACTTTTTGTTATGGCTTTTTTGAAAAGCCATAACAAAAATTTCTGGCTTTTAAAAAGCTCATTATATCCACACTATGCCATTCAATTCATTTTTCTTTAAAGGACTCTAAATGGTTGATCTCAAAATAATGCTACTGGCACCAAAATACTGTTGAAAATGGTTCTGTGGCATAAGATACATAAGAGCAATTACTAGCAGCTCCAAAGCTCGGGAAGGCTTTCACCTTGTCTTAGTCTTGCTCATTTCTCTGGAGTAAATCCCTCCCTTCCATGAGTCAGGGAACTCTGACATATTCATTTCATCTTTTTCAGCATTTTAGGCACACGTGGTGCAGCTGTGAGCTGAAGAATCAAGTTCTCTAATATCCCCCTTTTAAGCCAATAATCTGTCCTTAAATTTAAAAAAACATCCTTTTAGGATAAATTATTAAATTCAAAAATAATTTTATGCCATTTGAAATTTTAGAAAGGTTTTCCAATCAAGACTACAGAGTATACTGTTTATTTTTCCATGTAGGCACAGAAAACTCTGGGATTTCAAGTTAATAACTTACTAAAAGAAAACAAGTCCACAGATATAACAGGCATAAGTAAAGACAGCCAGGAAGTGCACAGTAGGAATACGAAGTGCAAATTGAGCTCATCTCTGAAAACGCAGATTTTTTTATCCTAACCCTAACACCTTAGAAGCCTTGAGAAACAGAAGAATACACAGGCACAAGTTCCATTAGCCATCACAGCAAAGCTCTTTGCAAGTCATGTAATCTCTGGGAAACTCACTGCACACTTGTGAGAGAAAGAATGAAAAAGGTAAGTAACACCACAGCATTCTTTTCAACAATAGTTTTGATCTTATGGACCCTACAAAGGGTCTCAGGGACCCTCCACAGTTCCCCAGATTACAGTTTGAGAAGAGTTATTCTAAGGTAAAACTTTGTCAAGTTGGATATTAAATTTATATAGAGAAAGACATCAAAGAAGATTTTCAGTCCCTCCCCTCTTACAGATCAAATGACAGCCCATAAACTTTCTCTCCCAAGCATCTTGTTTACTTTAATTGCAAGGGATAAAGAGGACCAGGTTAACAGACTCTCTGCCACAAATAATGAGGCACTTTCCCAACCTGAGTCCCCTCTGGGGTGGTCACAGAAGGTCACAACTTCTTCCATGTCCCTATGTGTCCACTCATCTGTGTTAGCAGCAGTCACACAGCAGTGGGAAGTGGAAGTGAGGGGTGATGCAGACAGACTCACAGCTCAGCTGGCTTGAGTGACTGCCTGCACATGGGTGGGTGGTGACAGTGTCAAGGATATGAAGGTCTCTAATTTGGGCCACTGCAAGAATGGGCTTTCTGGAGAACTAGGTCAGGTGAGAAGCCAAACAAGTTTGGTTGTGGACATGTTGGGTTTAGGTGTCAGGACGCGATATAGTTGCCTCTCCCAGCAAGTGGTGATACATGTTCGCACTCACTCAGTGCTGCGTCTAAGAGACAGACGGAAGGGAGACACCGTGACCGGTTTACATCTCACAAAATACAATAATCCTGTTCTCAGAAAAGTTACTTCCATTTCTCGGGGTGTTGGCGGTGGAACTTAATCCAACTGTGATTGCTCTAAAGATAGATAATTTTTTTGATATTAAGGAAACTTCCACCCACAGTACTGAAGGCAACTAGATACACAGCATCAGTTTTCCTTAATGCTCTCGCTGTCCTGAGATCTCCCGAGATCCCTGGCTGCAATCACTCTTAGGTACGGAGACAGTAGAAGGAGTATCAAGTAATGTCTTTAGCAATTAAGCACGAAGCTAAGAAATCCAGCCTCCAACAGATGAATGGATCAAGAAAACAGGGTTTATACATACAATGGAGATTATTCACCCTTAAAAAAGAAGGAAATTGTGACACTTGCTACAACATGGATGAACTTCAAAGTCATCAGACTAAGTGAAATAAGCCAATCAAAAGGACACACACTGTATGATCCCACTGATGTGCATTATTGAATGTACTCGAAAAATCATAGCAAGATTAGCAGAAAGGTGGCTGGTTGTCAACGGCTGGGGTGGAGGCAGGAAAATTAGTGTTTAATGAGCAGAGGGTTTCAATTTTGCAAGATGAACAAGTGCTGGAGATTGACTGCACAATAGTGTGAATATACATAATGCTACTGATCTGTGTGCTTGCAAATGTTTAGGATGGTAAGTCTACTGTTACGTGATAGGAATCACAACTAAAAATACCATAGAAAAAAGTCTCACAGTGTTCAGCACCCAGAAATGACCTGCATATATGCGTATAGGAAAACCAGAAAACTCCCCTAACATAGATCAGCGTTGCCCGGAGAGACCCCGCAAACCCCAAACCCCCAAGGCCTGTCTTCTCTCTCCCTCCACTTGCAAACCTGCTTAAACCTACTGCTCTCCCACTGTCCGCTCCTTTCTTCCAGCCTCAGGGGTCTGCAGGAGCATTTCTGCTGCTGGTGCCTTCCTGCCCAGCCCCCCACATCCGGCCTTCCCTGCTCTGAACTTCAGTGATAACTAACCAGTTGACAACTTCCTGGCGCCAATACCCCCTCCTCACTTCTAATACCTATGTCCATGGCCACCTTCATTCTCACTGGGTTCCCCCACCCCAATCATCTTCTGCTTTCAGGAGCAACAACGTTTGCCAGACGCATTTGCAAGGCAGCCTGGGCTTTAAAACCTCTGGCTCATTGCATCACCATCTATGCATCCTCTTAATAGTAATAATGTAAGGGAAAATCAGGAGCCTCACAACAGGGAGCACTGAAGAAGCATCTGCTTTCCTGAACTCTCATTTCACCTTCACAGCAACCCTGAAGCCGGGAACCTCTCCCCATTTTTCAGGCTCAACTGACCCGCCCAAGGTCAGACAGTTACTAACTACCAACAGAGGGTAGGTGCACCGAGTCCCAAACCCTCTATTCCTACCATCCCGACTCAACCCCTCAAGAGAAGAGATGCGATCAGATGCCTAAGACAAGGCAAAGGAAAAGAAAACACCCCCAGGGCCACGCAGGGGGCACCTTTCCTGGCAGCCTGCACCCCTCCTCATGGGGAGAGCACGGAACAGCCAGGGGTTCTGGGCCGGCGGCCCGCCTCGCAGTGTGCGCCTGGCTTCATTGCCTTGCCAAATGTCAAGTTTCCGCGTTCTCAGATTGGGTTCAATCACCATGCCACCCAGATTGCTGAGGGCATTTAACAAAAGCAGTGAGTCTACGAAAAGCAGTGGGCAAACTGCGTGGTCAATGTAAAGGCTCCATCTGTATTTGCCTTTTTTTTTTTTTTTTTTTTTAATTAAATCTTTGAGCCGGCAGTCTGGGTGTTACGTGGGAATGATCCGAAAGCCAGAAAGGGTCTAGAAAATCCCAACGCTCTAAGCGTGAGCAAGAGAGGGTCTCAGAGTGAGGTCTGACTCTGCAGAGCGGGCGTCCCCTCCTCCCGCGCGCAGCTGCTCGGGACGAGAAGCCGGTGGGGCATGCAGGGCGAGGACGCGAGGCCTCAGCGGGGCCGGGTGGACAGGGTGTGCAGTCCCACCCTCTGCGGGCGATGGCTTCCCAAAGTCTGGAGAAACCGGTTTCGCCGGGCCGACCATGCCCGCCCCTCTTCCCGGCGTGGGGAGCCCTTTCAAAAGTGGAGGGGAGCGGGTGTCGCGCCCTCCCAACCCTGGCAGCGCCTGGGCCCTCCCCCCACCAGGATCCCTCCCGACCCTGTAACCACCGCCCCGGGTCCCCGACGCGCGCCCGGGAGCGCAGGGTCTGCAGCGCCGCGACCTCAGCCAGCCCGTGGTCATCCGCTCCGCGGCCATTCGCCACTCCGAGAAGGGGCTCTGCTCCCGCCTCCGCCGGTGGAAACGTCGGGAGACCTCAGCACTGACCTTCCTGCGCGCCCAGCGGAGACTGAGACACCATCGCGCGCTAAGATAACCTGCAGACCCAGCTTGGCGGGTCCCCGCGCCTTTATCCCCCACCGCCCCGCCCGGCGCACCAATCCCCGGCCGAGGAGGGGCAGCGCGGGGGGCGGGCCGTGCACGCCCAGGGTTGGGAGAACTCAGGGACCGCCAGGGAGGGGGAGACCCGACCAGAGCCGCTCGCGACCGAAATCCGCACTCCGAAGCGGCAGAGCGCGCTCTCTTGCTGTTTAGCGGCTCCCTAGCAAGTGACGTGGGGAAGGAACGCAGGGCGCAGGAGAGACAGATGGAAAGGTTTGCTGGGGAGCTGGCCCAGGACTGAGAGTCTGGAGGTCCAGTGTGGGGAGACCTTGAGCAAGGCCCTTCTTGGCCTCCCAGCTGGAAGGCATCGCTGAAAAATCAGGTGACCTCCAAGACCACGGACCAGCAAAGTTAGCGACACCTGGGCGCCAGTTGGAAATGCAAATTGGCAGCCCCACCCCAACCCTCCCGACCTGCTGAGTCAGCATCTCCGGGGGCTGGGCCCGGGTGGCTCCTGCGGGATGCTGGTCCGCGCAGTAGCTTGAGAAGCGCAGGTCCAGGGCGCTGGTTCTCAAACTTTGCTTCATATTACAGTCACCTGGGAGCTTTTTAACCTCCAAACGCCCAGGCTGCCAGGCTGCCAGGCTGACCCCGGACCAAATGATAGAATCTCTGGGCTGGGGGAACCTCAAATGTATTTTTTTTTTTTTTTAAAGCTCTTAAAGCGATTCCAGTGTGCTGTGAAGGTTGGACTCAAGGTGTGGTCCTGGACAAAGCAGCCCACCCACACCTGCTGAACCGGGGAATCTGCATTTTAACGAGATCCCCAAGTGACTTGCAGGCCCCTTAGGTTTGTGAGAAACAACTCTAAGGTGTCTTCTGACATTAGGAAACTGTGATTTTGTGAAATCTGTCTGATTTTGTTTAGCGGGCTAGCCAGGCCCGGCTCTTTCGGCTTCTCGTTTGACTTGACCCCTGATGATGGCTCTGCCTCTGGCACGCTTGAAATAGGTCCACCCGCTCATGATCAGCGTGCATTCTGCTCAGCGTAGCCTCCCCGCCTTAAGAAGTGTTATTAATGCAATGTAAAATGACTACCGAACTGCCCACGGGGGTGGGGGTTTCAGACTTTCGGCATCTCAAAAGACTTGAGATTATGGAGACCAGGATACCCCCACTTCAAGAGGAAAAGGTGACTCCTCCCCTAGAGACATGACGAGGTGGGATCAAGGCCACTGGGGACCAGAATGCTGACTCAGGCAACCTGTCCCTGCCGCGCTGCCCTTTGTGCTCTCCATATCATATCATGAGGTATTTTTCGTTTTCCATAAAGCTGGTGGTGTGTGGGAGACGATATCAAGCTTGTGTTGAGTGGGATTGAGGTAGGAGTGGGGCTCAGACACCAGACCAGGTTGAGTACTAGCTAAAGCAGGGCCAAAGTAGCTTTCCATCAGATAGGCCCACCAGATGCCATGTCAGTTTACCGTTGCCATGGCAATATCAGGGCGTTACTGCCCCTTTCCATGGCAGTAACTCAATAATTACTACCCTTTCCTAGAAATTTCTGCATAAACTGCCCCTTCATCTGCATGCAGTTAAAAGTGGGTATAAATATGACTGCAAAATGGCTCTGAGCTGCTCCTCTCTGCCTGTGGAGTAGCCCTGCTCTGCAGACATGGAGCAGTCACGGAGCTGTAACCCTGCCTCTTCAATAAAGCTGTTTTCTTGTACCTCCGATTGCCCTTGACTTCTTTACTGGGCAAAGCCAAGAACCCTCCTGGGTGAAGCTCCACTTCGGGACTCACCTGCCCTGTATCAGGATTACAGGTGGGAACGTTGTGGAGTACAGCAATCCACTGATACTGCCTCTGGTCTGCTGAGGGAAGGGTGGGCAGGAGGAGGCACAGACCATAGCTTCAACCATTGTTCTTGGGGACAGGACAAGGGGAAGAGGTGATTTCCCAGGGACTGAAAGGTGGGTTTCTGGCTACCTAGCATCTACTTCCTCTCTTCCCCATGCAAAGAGGCTGACGTGGATGGCATCAGTCCTCGCCCTCCTCAGTGAAGGGGCAGACACTATGTTGAGATTTAAATCCTGTCCCCACCAGCAGAGGCCCTCTGAGGCCATCCCACCCAGGGACACTGCCTGTGGGCTTCCTGGCTCTAGGAGCGCTTGGGAATCTGCCCCTTCCAGCTGTTTCTCTAGCCCTCCCAGTGAAGCTGTGTCCTCCAGAGATCCTTTGACTTCTGTCTGTAAAGTGAGTTTCTGTAGTCCTAGCTTAGGTAGTGATAATATGCAGAATTTCTCTCCATTTTCATGGTTGAGATTTTGACTTTAAAATCGCAAACCCAAATAATGAAAATAAATAAGCATAAGTAGTCTCTAGCCTGTATTCATATAAATAAGTAACTGAATGAGTGACTAAATGGGGTGAAGGGACAACTATTTTTTTTTCCTTTGAGGCACGGTCTCACTCTGTCGCCCAGGCTGGAGGGCAGTGTGACATGATCTCAGCTCACTACAGCCTGGCTGACAACTCTTCCTTCCAGAATTTCAATGAATACATGTGGAAGGAAGGAGAGACCTGGCAAATCACGACTGAAACACTACTGCAATCCTTTCGGCAGGCAGGGTCCCCAGATGTGGCAAAATTAGCTGGTGAACGCTTAAGGAGAAGCAGGATATTTGCATAGTCTCAAAGTACCTCTCCCAAAATAGATGTTTATCAATAACAAAGGGAAAAATAGTAACTTTGCAGTGAAGAAAACTGGCATCACCACCTTAGACACGTGACTCAGGTTTACCTCTCCAGAAACATGTTGACATAGGAGGCGATGGGAAAGAGCACAGCACCGTGGAATTTCCCTGCCCAACAATGCACATCATGGTGGGAAAACATTACACAACCCACGTGGAGGAACATTTCTACAAAATAACTGACCAGGACCCTTCAGAAGTCTCAAGGTCACAAAAGACAGGAAGACTGACGACTGTCACAGATTAAGGAGACAATGACTCCTATCAAGTGAAATCCTGCATTAGATCTTGGTACAGAAAAAGAACATCAGTGGAAAAACCAGTGAAATATGAACAAACTTTCTAGTTTAGTTCACAGTACGGTGCCCTTTTTACTTCCTTGCAGATTTCTTCCCCAGTAGAGCTGTACTACAGTTGTGTAAGAGGTTAATATAAGGGGCGTCGGGTGAAAGGTACAAAGGAACTCTCTACTATTTTTGCAACACTGTCTGTCTAAAATGATCTTGGCTGGGCATGGTGGCTTATGCCTATAATCCCAGCATTTTGGGAGGCCGAGGCAGGTGGATTACTTGAGGTCAGAAGTTCAGGACCAGCTGGGCAACATGGTGAAATGCTATCTTTACTAAAAATAATAACATGATAATAATATAAAAATTAGCCAGGCATGGTGGCACATGCTTGCAATCCCAGCTACTTGGGAGGCTGAGGCACAAGAATCCAGGAGGCTTGAACCCAGGAGGTAGAGGTTGCAGTGAGCTGAGATTGTGCCACTGCACCGCAGCCTGGGGGACACAGCGAGACTCCATCTCAAGAAAGAAAACAAAAAGATCTTAAAATAAGAACTTTTAAAAAGTATCTTGATAAGTTTAAAATGCAGTAAATTTGTTACTTAGTAACAAATGTGTTACTTAGATTAAAGATCTTCCTGACAAAAGTTAATATGTAAAATTCCACTTGGGAAAAATATACTTTGTAGAAATAATGACCACAAAAGGAGATTGACAATGGGAGAAATTGTTTAAATCTGAAATGAGCAAAATAACCAGATATTGAATCAAATCTTTGTTGCAAGATTTAATAGAAAGCAATAAATGACAAATAAAATTCAGTAAAGGAAAAAGGAAAAGGAAGGAAAACGAAATCATTCATAGAAAATCGATTACAGGCTTAAATTAGTTAATGAAGAGATTTTTTTCTTTGTATGCAATTAGAGAATGCGAATACATTTGTGACCATAAGTTCCTAAGCAGGGCATATCAAAACGTTCTGTTTTTGTGTGTCTGCTTGTTTGATTAAGATACCTAGAAGTATGGTTAAGAAGAATGGACAACATACGCAAATTCCATGCTTCAAGATCCCACGGTGGTCTAAAATATAGAGAGGCTTGTTTCCGTATAAAGTCTAATAGCATTGCCTGGACAGGGACTTACGCCCAAAATGACTAAAGAAACGAAATCCCTGGGAACATGCAAGTAAATTACGCCACCAAGCCAACTTCTGTCCTTAGTTATTTAATGGGAAGAAAAATGCACCACTTCCAACTGCCTTGCACAGGGAGCATATAGTATCCTAGTACCTAGACACTATATGGCCCTACTCTAAAAGCAGTCATGGTGGCGTCAGGGGTCCCAAGGCATTATCAGTTCAGATGCTATATCTAACAGCCCTCAAAAGAGCTATAGAATCCCTTATAAGCAGAAATATTCCAAAGAACTTTAAGGACATATTTCCTCACTTTTCTGGCATTGGAGACTGTAGGGAACCAGCCCTACATCACCTGTGGTAGCCTGAGTTCAGTGGGACAAAGGAATGAGAAAAAGACAGGTTAAGAGAGGAACGTGGGACCAGGGGGCCATCACTTTATTACTCTGGAGGAGACAGTAAAGGCACCGAATTCTGATCCACAGTATTCACTGGTTACAGTCACTTTGATCAACAGGGTCCGGGTGGAGTGACAGTGGGGAGAGGGTAATCAGTGAGTGAATCAGTGAGCCAGAACTGGTGTGTCATCCTAAGGATTGATAACAGTGCCAGTTTGGGAGTTTCACAAAACAAGAACATTTGGTTATCTTTAGCTTAGTATCTATGTACAGCTGGTGGAACACGGGCCTTACAAGGAGCCTACAATTCTGGCTACGTCATAATGCTATGAAAGGGTTTTATGTCCTTGAGCACAATGTTTACGGTAACAGAGCCTAGGTCACTCTACACCAGAACGGGAGGCATGGAGAGGCCTTCCTCCCCAGAGGCCTCCTGCAGCCTTCCAGGGTTTATTGTTCCTGAATTCTTTTATACATATAACCAGGTTATGTAGGCACTCTGAAAGTCCTTTCTCCTTTGCTGCTTTTCCCAGCGAGAGATTATCAGAAGCACTTACCTACATCAATTCATGGACAGTCACTAATGATTTGGCTGGCTGGCCGGGAAATTGTAAAGAACAAGATTGGAAGGATAATGTGAAGGAAGACTAGAGAAGTATTTAAATATACCTTTCAGACTTGGCATAGAGTGTGAAGATTTTATAGTCCTGTGTGAATATTCACCAAAGGGAATCTAATACAAAGGAGGTTTTCAATAATCAGGTGGACACACTGACACATCCTACCGATCACAGAGCCAAATCATCAGTCAGCCTCTTTCTTCAGTCACCCCAGGTCCTAGTTAATGGAACAAAATACTAAGTAGCCATGCTGCAGGGATGGAGGCTATGCACAGACTCAGCAACACAGTCTTCCTCTTGGCAAGACCAATCTGGCTACTGCCACTGCTGACTACCCAACCTGTCAACACCAGAATCTAATAATGCTGACGTCTTGATATGGCACTCTTTTCTGAGGGTGGGAAGCAGCCAGCCACCTGCTGGTAGGTTGATTACACTGTACCTCTTTTTATCATGAAGAAGTGATTTGTCCTCACCAAATGTATACATTCTGTATACAGATATGCATTCCTTGTCTAATACTTCTGCTATATGAGGATAGAATATCATTCACTACCATGGCATTTCTTACGAGTTTGTGTCCTCCCCTAACTTCACATGTTGAAGTCCTAACTCCCAGAATGTAACCTTATTTGGAAATAGGGTTACTGCAGATGTAATCAGTTGAGATGAGGTCATTAGGGCGGGATCTAATCCAAGAAGACTAGGAAATAAAAGGGGAAATTTGGACAGAGAGACGTGTACAGGTGGAGTCTGCCATGTGTAGATGAAGGTAGCGATCAGGGTAGTGCTTCTACAGGTCAAGGAATGCCACAGACTGCCAGCAAAGTACCAGAAGCTAGGCAAGAAATACGGTCTTGATTAATGTGACTTTTTTTTTTTTTTTTCCAATCAGTTTGAGCTTATGAGGTTGCTCAGGTTAGCCTTGAACTCATGACCTCGCCTTCGCAAGCGCCATGACCTCCAGCGGGAGCCACTTTGGACCCCCCTAATGTGACTTTTTAATAAATCCTGAACTTGAGTATTGTTGGTCCTCAACTTTGTTCTTCTCCTTCAAAATTTGTTGGCTAATATGGGGTTTGCTTCTCATAAACGTCAGAATCAGTTTGTCACTATCCACAAAATAACATTTTGATTGAGATTGCGTGGAATCTAGATCAAGCTGGGAAGCACTGATATCTTGACAGTATTGATTTTTCCCATCCATGGACATAGACTATCTCTTTATTTAGTTCTTCTCTGATTTCCTTAATCAGAGCTTTGTAGCTTTCTTCATTTCGATTTTGTGCATATTTTGTTAGATTTATAACTGAGTACTTAATTTCAGGGAGCTGCTAATGTAAATGACATTTTTACATGTCATATTTCACTTGTTCATTGCTGACAGATAGGAAAGCTGTAACTGCTTATTCGTTCTAGGAGATTATGGTTGTTCCTTTCAGACCTTCTGCACAGAAAATCATTTCATCTGTGAACAAAGAGTGTTTTGTTTCTTCCTTCCCAATTTGCATACCTTTTATTTTCTGTTTCTGTCTTATTGCATTAGTTAGAACTGCCCACAAAATGTTGAAAGGAGTGGTGAGAGTGGACGTTCTTGTCTTGTTCCTGATATTAGCAGTCACGCTTCTCAACATTATGTTAGAATTTTTTTTAGATGTTCTTTATAAAATTGAGGGTTACACTCTATTCCTAGTTGCTAAGAGTTTTAGCATAAAGTGTTGGATTTTGTGAAATGCTTTTTCTTCATTTACTGATATGATCATGTGGTTTTTATTTAGTCTGCTGATATTATGGACTACATTAACTACTATTTAAATGTGAAATCAGCCTTGGATACATGGGACATCATTGTTTCTTCCATTCCATCATTTGCTGCTCGGACTGAAAAGTGGTTACACTTAATGTAATCACTGTTATGGACTTACTTGTGCTATTGTTACTTGTTTTCTGTATGTTTTGTGACTTTCTTACCCCTCATTTTCCCCATGACTATCTTTTGTGTTTATTTATTTTTTATAGTGATATCTTTTGATTCCCTTCTCATTTCTTCTTGTTTTCCATAAATATTTTCCTTGTTACCATAAGCATTACATACGACAACCTAAAGTTTAAACAATCTAAACTGATTCCCAGTTAACTTCAACAGCATAGAAAAACTTATGCCTATACAGCTGTCCCACACCGTTATTGATGTCCCAAATCCTTATACATTGAGTGTTCAGTAACATAGATTTATTTTTATGTCTTTATCTTTTAATTCCTTAGAAAATAAAAAGCAGAGTTACAAGCCAAAATTACAATAATATTATTTTTGTTTTGGTTTTTGTTTATATTTGCCATTGTATTTACTTTACCACTGTCTTCGTCTATTTTTCTTCTACTATAACAGAGTACCACCGACTGGATAATTTATAACAAAACTTATCTGGCTCAAGGTTCTGGAAGCTCAGAAGTCCAAGAGCACAGGGTCAGCATCTGGTGAGGGCCTTTGTGCTGCATCATCCCGTGGCAAAAGGTGGAAAGACAAGAGAGTGTCTGAGACAGAAAAGAGATCAGGGCTGAACTTCAGAATCTTTTTTATCAGGAACCCACTCCCATGATAACTCACTCACTCCCATGATAGTGGCATTAATCCATACATGATGGCAGAGCCTTCATGACCTAATCATCTCTTAAAGGTTCCACTTCTTAATGCCATCACAATGGCAATGAAATTTCAACATGCATTTTAGAAGGGACATTCAAACCACAGCCACCAGAAATATATTTCTTCACTCAGGTTTGAGTTATTGTCTACCATCCTTTCGTTTCACCTTTAAGGACTCCCTTTAGCATTTCTGTCTGGTATGGCAAATCTAGTGGTAACAAGCTCCCTAACAATAGATTTACAATTGATTTATGATTTTAACTCCTATGGAAAATAAAAAGTTATGAACTGAAGTTACAATAATACTGGTTTTTATATTGCCCTAGAATGTATCTGTCCTGGAGATATTAATTTCTTCATATGGGTTCAAGTTAATATCTAGCGTTCTTTCATCTCCCTGAGGGACTCCCTTTAGAATTTGTCAGGCACATCTCGCAGTAACAAGCTCACTAAGCTTTTGGTTTTAATCTAGGCATGTCTTAATTTCTCCCTTATTTTTTGGAGGACAGTTTTTCTGAATACATAATTCTCAGTTGACAGGTTTTAAAATTTTCTTTCAACATTTAAAATATATCATCCTATTGTCTTCTGGTCTCCATGTTTTCTGATTAAAAATTAGTTGATAATCTCAGTTAGGAACGATTGTATGTGATGAGTTGATTCTCTTGCTACTTTGAAAGTTCTTTTTGATTTTTGATAGTTTTCATATAATGTGTCTTGGTGTGAATCTCTGAGTTTATGGTATTAGAAGTTGTGTAGAAGCTTCTTGGATTTGTAGACTTACATATTTCATCAAATCTGGGATGTTTTCAGCCCTTATTTTTAAAATATTTTTTTGCTTTTTTCTCAGACTGACTCTCACATACCATATGTTGGTCCACTTAACGGTAACCTACAAGTTTTTTAGTCTATTCACATTTTTAAATTTTTTATGTTCCTCAGACTGGATAATTTCAGTAGTTCTATCTTCAAATTTGCTGATTCTTTCTTCTCCCTAATCAAAAACTCTATTGAAGGCTGGGAGCAGTGGCTCACACCGGTAATCCTAACACTTTGGGAGGCTGAGGTGGGTGGATCACAAGGTCAGGAGTTTGAGACCAGCCTGGCCAACATGGTAAAACCTTGTCTCTACTAAAAATGTAAAAATTAGCTGGGTGTGGTGCAATGAGCTGAGATCACACCACTGCACTGGGCGAGAGAGCAAGACTATCTCGGAGGGAAAAAAAAAAGCAAAAAAACCCCACCACCTCTACTAAACCCTTCCAGGGATTTTTCATCTCAGTGTTGCACTTTTCAGCTCCAAAATTTCTACCTGGTTCTTTTTTATAATTTTTATCTTTATTGATATTCTCATTTTGTTCAAACATCATTTCTCTGGTTTCACTTAGTTGTCTTTTAACTCTTTGAGCATATTTAAGATAATTGTTTAGTCTTTGTCTCGTAAGTCAGAAGTCTCCAATCCCTTAAGGATAGTTCCTTTCAATTAATTTTATTCCTGTGAATGAGCTACATTTCTTTTTCTTTGCATGCTTTGTGATATTTTTGTTAAAAATTGAACATCTGAATATTATAATGTGCAACGGAAATTAGACTTTCACCCTTCCCTAGGGTTTATTATAATTATTGAAAGATGTAGTCGTCTATACATTCAGTTACTTTTCAGTAATACTAATTATTACTATTATCAAAGGCTATAGTAGTTCATGTTTATTTTCTAAATTATTTTTGCAGATTGTATTCTTTGTCAAGTGTGGTCACTGAAGTCATTGTTCGTGTGCAGTTAGTTTTGAGAAAAATTTCCTTTAATTGCAGAAGCTTTATAAAACACACAGACACACACACACACACACACACACACACACACTTCTTCCAGTCATTATAGATCAGTTTTGTACTGGGATCCTCCTTCAACACTTATCCAGGCTTGCACCAAACCTCGGAATCAACCATAAGTAAAAAGCTTATGGTCTGCTCAGGACTTTTCTGAGCACATGTTTTGCCCTGTGGCCTTCTAAGCTCCCCTGCACATTAGTTATTTTGAATGTCTTAATTTCCCAAAGAATCTCCCCCAGCTTTTCTTCCCAAGCTTTAGGTGATCTATTATTTTGACTGTAAAGTTTGGCCCCAGTTGTCTGCAGGTTTTCAGTTCTCCTTAGAGCATTTTTGAGCAATGCCCCAAATGCATATTTCCAGCTTGGGTTCTGAGTTAGAAGGAACAGAGATGAGCACATTTTGTCAGTTCCTCAAGAAGTTCCCTAGACAGGTTAAAACAGACATAAGCAATACTCTGCGAGTAAAGTCTGATCTGTGAATAAAGCTTGATCTGAACCAGACACTAGAGTTCCACACTGAGAAAACAGGCTGGAACTGCCTCAAGACTGCCTCTATGCTAGAGGTGATGGGGCAAGACCAGGTAAAAAACGCCACAAAGCCTCCTTAAGTTTTCAAGTAGTCTTTTTCTTGATTTGCTTGGTTGCCGTAAACCTCTGACTGTTTTCCAGAGTTCTAACAGTTTGACAATTTCTGCTTGTTTTTTTGTTTCTGTGTGGGAACAAGCAGTTGAATCTGCCTGTTCCACCATTTTGCTGATGTCACTCTATATACATTCCTGATTAAAAATACTTGAAAGTTGAAAAGTAGATGTATTAAAATTCACCTTAAAACATATATATACATATTATATAATGTGTGCGCGTGTACACACACACACACACACACACACACACTCCTGGGCTCAAGCAATCCTCCTGCCTCAGCCTCCCAAAGAGGACTACAGTCATGCAACCCCATGCCCAGCTAATTCTTTTTAATTTTGGAGAGATGGGGTCTTGCTGTGTTGTTCAGGCTGGTCTGGAACTCCTGGCCTCAAGTGATCCTCCTGCCTTAGTCTCCAAAGCACTGGGATTATAGGAATTAACCAACATGCCTTAAAATATTTAAAGTATTTTTTAATTGTGGTAAAAAAAAAACAAGTGTAATATAAAATTTACCATCTTACCCATTTTAAGTGTAAAGTTCAGTAGTGTTAAGTGCAGGAGGCTGGTGAGGGAGGATCACTTGAGCCCATGAGTTCCAAGATACAGTGAGCTATGATCATGCCATTGCATGCCAGCCTGGACAGCAGACATCTGACTTAAAAAAAAAGAAAGATGAAAGAACAAAGAAGAAGAAGAGGAAGAAGGAGAGGAAGAGGAGGAGGAAGAGGAAGGAGGAGGAGGAAAGCAGATCACTTATTTTGTTTTTAGGTTTGTCTGATGCTTCCTCATAATTAGATTCAGGTTGTGCTTTTTCACTCCAAAAGTGGTGCTGTTTCTGGATGGATCATCTCAGAAGGCACATGATGTTGGTATGTCCCATTACTAATGATAACTTTTTCTTAGATTAAGGGTGGTATCTACCAGTTCCTTTCACTACAAAGTTAGTATTTTCTCCTTTGTAACTAGTAAGTATTTTGTGGAAAGCTACTGGAGACTATATTCTGTTCTTCACAAACTTCCACCTTCTAGTTTTGCCATTCACTGATGGGCATTGTCTAAGTCAATGATTACTGTGATAATTTGCCAAATAGTGGCTTTCTAATTCCAGTTTCTTTCTACATTTAATAGCTGGCATCCTACTCTAAGAAAGAGCCTTCCTTTTACCCTCATTGATTCATCTGTGTATGTTAATGAATACCAATTCAGTAAGATACAGAATACATACTCCTAATTCATACCTGTGAAGTATGTGGAAGAGTCACAATGTCTGCAGCTAATTCAGATATTTCAGCAAAATAACAATAGTGTAGACACACACACACACACACACACACACACACACACACACGGTACGAAAGCAAATGTGGAAAATGTTACCAATCATTCAATCTAGGTGAACAGTACATGGGAAATCAGTGTACTATTTTGCAACCTTTTTGCAGATCTCAATTTTTTCACAATAGAAGGTAAAAAGTGTATAGCAGTTTTAATTGAAACACCATCCAAACCTTCACCAATATTTACAGAAACAAAATTAAAATAAGCCCACAGATTTATCAGCACAAATATATTCCAATTTTATTACCATTGTCTATAGAAATGTAACAGTAGCCATCTCTGCAACTGTCCTCTGAGGCAAGGGAACACCACACATGAATATCACACACTAAGAACAGTACCACATTCGACAAGACTGTTTCTTGATTCAGTAAATTCAGTTGACAAACCGGCCAACTCAAGGTGAATGATTACAGTCATAGGATATAGGTGAAATTATCACTTAGTGAATATTCCAAACAATATTAAAATGTTACACAGACTTACAAAAGTTCAGCTTTTTTCCCTAAGACTATATATGTATGTGTGTGTAGACAGGTTCACAATATAGAAACCTGTACCTACAGCACTCTTGAAGTTTTAGCAAATCATACATTATAGACACATTCGCCATACAGTGCAATTTTATTGTGTAAGCCATGAGTTAATAGTGCACTTAAATCCAAGAGTCACATTCAAATATATCACGAGTACAGTCCAAATGCCCGGCTACTGAAGAAATACACATTCTTTTTTTTTTTTTTTTTTTTAAATAAACTAAGTTCTGCAAGTACAACATTTTTTGTGTAGATGGTATTAGATCGATACGGTTTTTAAACAATGAGATTTAGGGCGTATTTGGTAGAATAATTCACCTCTCCAAAGAAATGTACATTTTAGAAGTGAAGCAAATGTCTTGGCCAGACAGACACAGGCAGTGTTGTACAGCTCAGTTTTGTTACACATCACAAATACAGTTACTCCGTAGACCTGCAGACAGTCGAAGAGAAGGGCTCTAGAACTCAGTAGTCTCATCAGAATTACTCTGCAGGACAATGTAGTGTTTGCAGTGAGCCCCACCAACTTCCATTAAATTGGGTGCAAACTACTGTTCCACAGTGTAGTTCAAGAGCTAGGACGTCGGGTTTCTTAAAAAGGACTTAGTAAGTTCAGACATTTCAAAACCCAGTCCTAGAATTTCAGAGGGTCTCTTCTGGGACTACTGGTTTAAAGGAAGATGCTGTGGACAGTGGATTATAAAGACCAAGTGAAGGTAGACGTAGTTTTATTCAAGAAAATAAAGAAAACTGATACTATAAGAAAATTATAGTATATATCTCATCATCTGAGAATACATATAAATGGAGAAATCAGTCTTACAATATTTTTTAAGATGATGGGTAACATAAAAATACCATCTGGTAATAACTTAGAATACCAGGTCTGGAGGAGAACAGGCCTGGCCCATGTGAAATAAGCAGTAGCTTACCTACGTGGTCTTGGGGTATAGCACAAACCTGGGAGCTCTCTGAACCTCTTCAGTTCTGAGGGTTGCCCAATTTAAAAAAACAAACTGTATTAGATGTACTGAATGACTTCATTCTCTAATAAATTTCAAAGCTTCCAGAATAGAGGATAGACTACTGTTAACTATTGCCCATTTTGGGTCCAGGAAATACCCTTCTGATAAAGAGTGTCCATAATACCCTTGTGCTGTTTTCATTCATTCTGTCTAGAAGTAGGCAAATACCAAAACCTTTCTCTCAGATTAAGGTCTGACAATAACTGAACCTGATGACCTACTTCTGACTGATTATTAGGACAGCTATTCCTGAAACCAGATAACTACAAGAGTTATGCCTTTAAGCAGGTTTTTCAAAGTGCAACTAAACATTATTCCTGTTTTTCACTTGAAGAAAGTAAATTATGGTCAAATCTTTTCCATGATACTGATTTTTTATTTAACATAAACCAAATACTGACTGAATCAAAGACTAAAATCTCATGAAATTTCATCCTTTAAAACAAAAAGCAATACAATCCCACCTCTAAAGGCCTCAAAGTTCAAAGAAATGTTTTAAAATTCCCCACATGGGACTTGACATGAATGTCTATTATTGTCCCCCCAAGTCTTCTCATAAATCACTTTAAAATCTTGCTTGGAGATCCTAAGTTTTCTTGGAAACAAAATACATTTATAGATTGTTTTAAACCTACCAAATGTTACTATTTCTGCTTGTTTCTTCCCATTTAATAAAATCAAAATAAAAACTTGGGCCAAATAAATACTTATTGAAAAGTCCTGCCACCAAAAAAGCTTCAGGTTTTGAAAACTGTATAATCAGCCATCAACGCTCTTCTGATTTAAAAAAAAAGTATTTATTTGAATCTAAGGATCCTTATATGTTCGATAGAGGATTGTGGTGATCCCTTGTATTTTAAAAATATCCTTTGTGGGGCCTACATTATGTGTCTCCAAATAAAAACCAGCTTTCACTCTACATGAATAGAGAAGAAGCTGAATGTGCAGGAATCTGGTTCTCTCTCGTGTGATTATCACCGGCTCCCCGGGGCAATCTGCCTGCTCACTCACCATTCTCTTCATTAAAGTGTTTAATACCACATTTATCAAAGGCAGCTCTCCAAGTGCAATGTCTGACAAGTGTCTTCTCGTGAGTGTATCCATGTTATTTACTCTTATCCAAGAAAGGACAAACTTAACAGTACTACTAAAAACCCTCTTCCAATCGTACTGATAATGTACTTTTTTTTTGAGACGGAGTTTCACTCTTGTTACCCAGGCTCACTGCAACCTCCGCCTCCTGGGTTCAAGCAATTCTCCTGCCTCAGCCTCCCAAGTAGCTGGGACTATAGGCGCGTGCCACCATGCCCAGCTAATTTTTGTATTCTTAGTAGAGACAGGGTTTCACCATGTTGACCAGGATGGTCTCAATCTCTTGACCTCGTGATCCACCCGCCTCAGCCTCCCAAAGTGCTGGGATCCACTGCGTCCGGCCTGATAATGTACTTATTTTTGACAGAGTTTTTGGCTTTGCGAAAACTCCAGTATTTGCATTACCAAATGACACTTCTGAAGATGCAGTGACACCAAAGTTTATTTTTACAACCTGCAAACAGACCTGAAGTTTGGACAGCCTCTATTTATAAATTAATACTAAAATGCAAACTTGCCAAAACAGTATAGATTATTGTCTCAGTAAGACAGAGAAGACGAAGTGCAAATTCCGTGCTATGATTATACTCTGGCTCGCACAGCAAATGTTCATCAGGAAGATGGGTCTAACTTGATGGCACAGAAAGCGCTCCATGACCAAGCCTAATACAAACTCCCTCACAAGTTTCCACCCATGGAAGTCCTATGGGCCTATCAATATAAGCAGTAGGAATCACTTCCGGTTTTTTCTTTAGAGACAGGGTCTCGCTCTGTTGCTGAGGCTGGAGTGCACTGATGTGATCATGGCTCACTGCGGCCTCAACCTCCTGGGCTCAAGGGATCCTTCTGCCTCAGCCTCCCTAGTGGCTGAGACTACAGGCACACACACAGCTAATGGGAGTCACTTCTAAAGAAAACTCTCTAGATGGTTTTCCTTACATGCCTGTTAGCTGAGAAGAAAAAGGCTCCTTCACATACAATCTCGAGACAAAAAGAGGAGAAAACAAAAGGGTGAGCTGTATTAACAGACATAGCAAGCAATTCTGAGGGACACAAAAAAGCGAGGCTGTTTCTTTTTTTTACAAAACTAAGACGGACACTTCACACAATGCAGAGATATAAGAACACCTCTTATGCTCCTTGCCATGGGGTTTTAATGCCTCAAGGTTCATAACTACAGCAAAGAAATAAGTCAAGAATAAACTGAGCTTAAAGAAGGCAGCAGGCAAATTCTCCCAAAGAGACTGTGGACTATGGGCTGCTGTCCAGCCTTTGCTACGAGGCTGAGGAAGCAGAAGAAAGATAAAACTTGGGCAACTGGTGATGAAAAAAGTATTTGCCATTTTCAAAGGCTCTCAATGTGGCCACAGATTTTACTAGTCTATTTAAAAAAAATTACGTTTTTAGCTTAACACACAGCTCTAAAGCAGGGTTCAGTGTGGTGTGTTCTTTACCAAAATGGTTATATACAGATGGTACAGAAATGGTTTTAAAGATTACTCATGACTATCCTTTTAAAGAAAAACTAGAATTGGTCGTATTTATTAAAATGAGCAATGTCACCTAACAGAAATGTAGGTGCGAAATACCAAACCACAAATATTTAGAGTTGCAGACATAAACTAGCAGAGCATGAACACGGCCATCACTGTTTCTGTAACACTGAAACACTCCAATCTGTCCTGAAGTTGGAAACACAGAGTTACTTCATGTTTATAAACTTCCCCCTTCACTTAAGCTGTATTTGCTTAACACATAATGGACAAATCAATAGAGTCAAAATAAATCTGCAAAAGGCTCAGGTTAACATGAGAATTTTAACGTTAGTATTAGTAAACTCTTAGAATACTTACAAACTAAAACCACACACGCAGTAAAACACACATACACACATAAACCAGTGCAGTAAGAACTTTAGACAAGGGCAGTGCATCACCTCTGGTTTAAGAAAACCGTATGTGTAGCTTGATTATAACAAATTAACTCTATTCTAGATGATGATTTAATTTTACAACCAGCATTTGATACACATTGTCTATGTATGGTCAAAACCTAAAATAAAAACAATTCAACAGTAGCAATTCTCAACCAGTAACAAATTCCTACTTTACTTCTGTATTGCACATACTTTTAGTGTCTACCTGAAAATAAATTTCACTCTTCTCAATGTAAATATCAGAGGGCCGCACCTGTTGCGCTTGAAGAAATAATTTACCTTCAACAACAGATTTTCCTTTCTTGACAAACAAGAATGAGAACAGATTCAGCTTCGTTAGTCCAAAACGATTTTGAAGAAAATAGGTATTTTATGTGGCAAAGACACTGGAAATGGTATGTTAAACACAAAATTCTTGCTTTATCAGTCACTACTATTTTGAGAAACATTTCTATGCTCAGAGTGTTTAAAAGTCTGACCCTTTTTTTAAACCACCAAATAGTCCCTAGAGAGATTAACTGTCTCCTTGACTGCTCTAGAATGCTGTTTAGGGAGTGGACACAGAAAAAAAGCTTTGGATAAAATGGCGTGAACACAAATGGCATTAAATAGGTCATCTATTTCACGTAAAAATAAAATGACTAGCACCTCCTTCCTGCTCCAAGTGACAGGACCTAACAGGCCACATGAAACATGAGTTATGATAGTTTCATTATTCATACAGTATTGAGAAATCCGTTACATTAGAGGGGACCCACGTCTAAAGCCTTCACTTCAAGGCTACCGTATAAAAGTGAATTGAAGGGCACAAGGAGAGAGAGGTGGACACAGGCCCAGGAAGGTCCTTGCGAAGGGTGTGAGGAGACCTTTCAGGGACTCTCTTGCATCTCATCCTCTGTTTCCAGTTCTGCCAACTGCCTTCTAAGGATATTGACTTTTGCTTGTAATTCCTTATTATATTCAATGATGTTAACCATTTCTTCATATGCTTCATCCAAATACTTAGAGGATCTATTCCAACGTAGGAAAATACCTATTGAATCCAGGAATGGAAAACAGAAGAAGAAAGGTATATACAATGGATTAAAATTATATTTGTGGATAATATAATTTATGTATTATACATCCTTTTTCTTTTTTGAGATGGAGTCTTGCTCATCGCCCAGGCTGGAGTGCAACAGCACAATCTCGGCTCACTGCAACCACTACCTCCTGGGTTCAAGCAATTCTCCTGCCTCAGCCTTCCGAATAGCTGGGACTACAGACATGTACCACCACACACGACTAATTTTTTACATTTATAGTAGAGACAGGGTTTCACCATATTGGTCAGGCTGGTCTCAAACTCCTGACCTTGTGATCTGCCCACCTCGGCCTCCCAAATACATTATTTTGTCTTGTTTCCACAACTCACATCTGTGTCTTATTATACTCTAAAATATACAGGAATCTTGAGGTACTGAAAATAATGCAACTGAACACAATATCTGAAAAGTCACTACTTGTATGCACCTGCTCATTGATTCTTTGGAAATATCCCACGAAATTATCAAGTAGATCCAAATACCATTCTATGATATATTCAGGAAAACAAGTTGATAATTTACAATGTCATAAACTTTCCGATTTCCCAATACAAATCCTTTATTTTTATAATTATAGAATTTTACTCAGACATGTAAGATCTCTTAAATGTGTGAAACCATTTTCACCAGGGAAGTGACAACTCCAGCACACAGGCTGTCATCTGAAAGCCTAAGCTGTAGCACATGTGCTCACAGACTCTCTCTCGGTTACTTCAGAGGCAATCTTTCCATACTGCAGCCAACCGCTTCTTTCCCAAATAATAACAATTATCCTTTTATTATGAACTAGAAGGAAATATGTTTCCACTCCGTAGCCCTATGTTAACTGTATCATACCAAAATAAGGCCTTACAGATACTCGAGTAAGGAGGCATGAAAACTTGCCAGGCCATACCGTGTCAGCAGATGGCAAGTGTACGAAGGTTTTATGATTCATTAAAACACTTTCTACAAACCAAACTGCCATGGGTCCTAATGAGCCATTCTATGCAGGTGCAAATGTCAGGCTCTATCAGAAAGGGGGAGCAGAACCACAGCCTAAAGCCTGACCCACCCATGCTGATTTTTCTATTATATGAACCTATATTCTCAATCCAGGAATTACTAAATATTAATGGTTATCTGTGATGTAAATGTAAACAGCAGAGAGACATTTTAAGGCCGAAGAGCAGTCTCATTCAATATATATGCCTACTGTAGGATTTTACCTAATAGAGAGCTTCTCCCAGCTCTAGGCTGAGGAGCATGGAACCCACACTGAAACTCCAGTGTGGCAGGAATTCTTCCACAGAACAACAAGGATTGCATCCCATCATCTGTCTCTAAGCTCCCAAGACTTGGTACAAAGCAGTGAAATCATCCGTCAGGCCACCCAGCTGCCAACGTGGCTTTTCTCCCGAACAGCTACTCTCATCAGTTATTAAACCTGACAGTCGCTTTTAGGTACATTGTCCCAGAAGTCTTGAATAGGAAGTACACCTGTAACCTCTCATTTAAGAGCTCACGAGCCCTACACTGTGACTGTGACAACAATCACGAAAGCAAGCAGAGAGAAGTTCTGAGCAGCCACTGTCGCTGCACAAAATCAAAGCACTAAAGCTCACACTTAGAACCGCAAGATCATCTAAGGCCATTTCCCCACAACGATAACTAGGGGACGCCTCAACAGATAAGATTAGAAGTGAACTGAGGTGGAAGGAAGCCACTAATGGCAGATAAGCCAAGAGGAACTAGATGTGACAGCTGACATCCAGAGAAGAGACAGAAACTGTCTCAGACTGGGAAGGCAAAGCAACTTGAGACCTGTTTCCACAAAGGGCAAATAGTTTTCTACACAGGAACTCCCTCTGAGAGCATAACATACTAGAACACGGCATAACAACTGGCATTAATGGTAATTCAGCCTAATTTATCAAAAAGTTACCGTTCTTATATGTACACTTTATGCGATTTAATATAAACATGAATAAATATGTGCCTACTATCTTCAAAATAACTTTAAAAAGTTAAATGGTATTTTATAGTCTATGTTTAATGAACAACTATACAGTTTAGATAGATTTTGGTTAATTTTGTTTTGAAAAAGTCTTGCTGTGTTGCCCAGGCTGGAGTGCAGTGGCATAATCTCTGCTCACTGCAACTTCCACCTCCTGGATTCAAGTGTTTCTCCTGCCCCAGCCTCCTGAGTAGCTGGAACTACAGGCCTGCACCACCACACCTGGCCAATTTTTATATTTTTAGTAGAGTTGGGGTTTCGCCATGTTGGCGAGGCTGGTCTTCAACTCCTGATCTCAAGTGATCCACCCACCTCAGTCTCCCAAAGTGCTGGGATTACAGGCCTGAGCCATCACACATGGCCAGATTTTGGTTATTTTTTTTTTATTAACAAGCTTCAATACTTAAAGGGATAAGCTTTAGTAGTTGGAAAAATCAGTATATATAAAAAACCTACTTTAGAATAGATTTAAAAATTAAGTATAGATTATTGTCCCATAAGAACAATGAAATATCTGCATTACTGCATTTTGGTATTTTGTGTCCATTTATAGAAACTTACTGGAATCCCAGCCATGTAACTCTTTAATAGCATTTAATACAAGAACCTATGCTAATGACTGCTTAATAAATGGATAGAAACCCTCCCTGAGGAGCTTACAATTTATTCATGTCCCAACTACCTACCAACTCTCTTAGGCAAAGAATAATATACTTTCTTATCTAGAAAAAATATCCAACATAAACAGCAATGTAAAGAAACACTGTCAATTTCTCAATGGGAACTGAAAAATAAAGTGTGGCTAGATAATTGATTTGAAAGAGAGAACCGTGCCACATTGAGAATGACAATTCACACGGGTCAGAAGATCACTCAGGCATCTTCATATGGTCCAGCTCACCATCTTCATATGTCACCAACAGCACAAACACACAGGCAGCTGGGTGCACACCTGACCATGAAGAAGTTTGCAAAGGATGCGTGGTTTACCTTCCCACAGCAGAAGACTCTGCGGAGCAACTGAAGGCCAGATGACGAGGTTGTTGGCTTCAAAGAGGGGATTGGTGTATTTACTCAGCTTACTGGGCTGATTGACCCAGGACCACAAAGACATTGTCTTCTGCTGTAGCTTCAACTTACATCTGACCAAGAAAGAACACTGCTGTTAAAGTCATTAATTTACAACAACCATTAATGAATGCTCCTCTTAACAGGACAATTTCTTCTCAGTATGAAAGAAGACAGAAACACAAGACTTGCAGTAGAGAAACAAAATGTTGAAAAATAAACAGGTTTGTCAAAAAGCTTAATCAGCATTAGAACTTAACAGCAACAAACCAAAAAGTATTTTACAGGCTTCCAAGAAGCTGGCAGGATGATAAAAGCAGAATCTGGTCACATCACATTTGGCCTTAAACCTTAACCCAGAGAACATTACTATACAAAAGTCCTTTGTTGAATTTGGAATTGTATTTTAATTTAAAAGAGTAAAGTATGAAAATACTTTCTAATCCTTTTGTTTGCTTCTGAGAAGCCTATAATAGAAATACAAAAATTGTACACATTTTTTTGACATTTATGTCCTACTTATGGTTTCTGTAAGAAAGGGCTTGTTGTAAGGAAACCCTGTTTTGAGACAGGGTCTTGTTCTGTCACCAGGCTAGAGTGCAGTAATGCCATCTCAGCTCACTGCAACCTCCGCCTCCCAGGTTCAAGCGATTCTGCCTTAGCCTCCCGAGTAGCTGGGTTTACAGGTGCATGCCACCACGCCCAGCTAATTTCTATATTTTTAGTAGAGATGGGGTTTTACCACGTTGGCCAGAATGGTCTCAATCTCTTGACTTCGTGATCCATCCGCCTTGGCCTCACAAAGTGCTGGGATTACAGGCACTTTGCCCACCACCTCGCCCAGCCACATTCTAATTGTTTTTAAGTTTTTTCTCATTTTAATTTCTCCCTAAGTTATTGGGGAACAGGTGGTGTTTGCCTACATGAGTAAGTTCTTTAGCCATCGGTGAGGTTTTGCTGCACCCATCACCCGAGCAGCGTACACTGCATCCTAATTCGTAGTCTTTTATCCCTCATCCCCCTCCCCACTTTCCCTCAAGTCCCCAAAGTCCACTGGATCCTTCTTATGCCCATATTAATATTAAAAATGGAGGTTGAGCCAAATCTCAAACAAAACTTAAAATTTTTTAGAGACTCAGCTTTTAGGGAAAATAAATTACATGTACATAAAATACAGATTGTCACAGAAGAAATATCAATGTGACTCGATATAAATACATATTTAATCTATATCCACATACAATGAACAGGCTTCATAATAATTCTAAAACTCTAACACTTTTTATCAACTAATAAACTGTTAAAGAAAGACAGTCAACTGACATGTTTTAGAAAAAAATACATTTTAACAAAGATTGAAAGATAGTCACCTTTCATCAACCTAAAAGATAGTACATTCAGTTCCCATAAGAATCCGTTTAAGCTGAAATTTTATTATAAACTCAGTTTGGTCTCTGAAACCACTTGATTATTTATGAGCTACATGTGACTTAGTGCACTGCTTTTACTCTAGCAATAAAAGTCATCCACATAATCACAGAGCCTATGTGGCACTGGGCTTTAACTGCTGGGGTAGCATGTCCATGCCATGTTCCCAGGAGCCAGGGACGGCAAGGACAGGATATTACTGCACCCACTGCCTCTGGCCCTGTGCCCCTGCCCATGGCCAGCCAACCACTGAGCTTGTTCTGGCCGAGCCTGACAGCACTTCAGAATCCTTCTCAATCAGTATTACTGGCAGCTCCTACCACTGGGAAGCAGAATGGGAATCTATTTGTGATCACTTTCTTGAAAGCTAGTCCTGAAGATATTAAGACCAAAAAGAAATCCATAGTCAGACACATTTCTTAAATATTGAATTAAAGTTATAGACACTGCTTCACTGAAGGGTGTCTTAAAGCTTCTGACGACTATGTGTTTGTGACCCTCTAAGAGGGACGGATATTATGCCACATTCGCCAAACTTCCTTGGCTACAGAAATTGCCAATCCCTCCTCCTGTCCCTCCCTGCCAGAGTACAGTCCAGGGCTTAATAGCGCATACTCTAGAAAACAGTGGCTGCCAGCCATGAGACAAGGAAGCCTGATGATTGTACCCACAGAGACTACAGGGCAAGCTCCCTATAAGATCATTCTGATGCAAATCTTCTAAATGAACCTATACACTTGATGGTGCCTGGCTGTGAGGTGAGCTTGTCACTCTGGGCCCAAGGACAGTTTCTAGGCATAACAAAGTCTAGAGCAGGAGGAGGGAGACCTGTAGTCTAAGCCAGGGATCCCCAAACCCCAGGCCATGGACCAGTAAGGGTCTGTGCCTGTTAGGAACCAGCCACACAGCAGGAGGTGAGCAGCGAGTGAGCGAGCATTACCACCTCCTGTCAGATCAGCAGCCGTGTTAGATTCTCACAGGAACACAAACCCTACTGTGAACTGCACATGCGAGGAATCTAGGGTGCACTTTTATGAGAATCTAAAGAGAGAATTATGAGAATTCTCCTTATGAGAATCTAATGCCTGATGATCTGAGCTGGAACAGATCCCCAAACCATCACCAGTCCCATACCAACCCAATCCATGGAAAAGCTGTCATCCACAAAACCGGTCCCTGGTGCCAAAATGGCTGGGGGCTGCTGCTCCAGGCCATACTTTTGATGACCAACTGGCTGTATGTCCTGGGAAAAGTCACTTAACTTCTCTGGATCTTACTTTCTTAATAAAATTAGAGGGAAGAGCTGAATTATAAATTAAGGCTTCTTCCTTGTGTAAGATACTATGATCCTATGTAAAGAAATTAACATTTAAGATGGTTGCACCATTTAATTCATGTATGGACTAATTTTAATCTAATGGGAAAGTCTAGGACATACCCTCACCTAGCATGAGACTGTCTCATAATAAGAATATACTTCAGGGAGGCCGAGGCGGGTAGATCATGAGGTCAAGAGATCGAGACCATCTTGGTCAACATGGTGAGACCCCGTCTCTACTAAAGATACAAAAAATTAGCTGGGCATGGTGGCGCGTGCCTGTAATCCCAGCTATTCAGGAGGCTGAGGCAGGAGAATTGCCTGAACCCAGGAGGCGGAGGTTGCGGTGAGCCGAGATTGCGCCATTGCACTCCAGCCTGGGTCACAAGAGCGAAACTCCGTCTCAAAAAAAAAAAAAAAAAAAAAGAATATACTTCAGGTCATTTAACTTATAATTAACTGTAGCCTCCACCTTCTTATAAATAATTCTAATAGAGAGCCAAATCGTGGTCTACTTTAGGAAGTAGCGAAAACAGCGAAACCGGAAAGGTCCCCGTGCGAGCAGTGTACCTACCTTTCACTTTCACTGTTGCCCAGAAATGTTCCAAATTGTGAGGCATAAGCATGCTCAAAGAGCATGATGAGGAAATTCTCATTAAATTCAAAAGAACAGGGAAACTGACGAAGGATCTGCCACACGCAGTCCAAGAAGAGAAGAAATACAGGAGCCTCCCACTTCTGCTTGGTGTTACAGTAGGCTGACTGTGCACAGCGCTGCTGGAACGGGTGACCAGCCTAGGGGGAAGATGGAAGTGTGACCGTCAAATCCTGGTGAGCTCACATGGCAGCGCATTCTACCGACGACACCACATACAATCATAATAGCGACACCACTACACACAATCACAGTGACAATCCTAGTACCTGGAACATCATATATTAGGGTAGCTGTTGTACAGATTAATGATTTCTTGGTATCAAACAGACAATTTCAGCAACTAAGGAAAAAAGACACTTCCAAATCCTTAATGAGGCTCTGCAGCTAAAGTGTGACCATAGGAACTGCAATTGCCCTTAGAATATCCTATGGAAGAATAATGAACTGAAGTCCTAATAAACTTACAAAATAAATCTTTCTAGGTCTGCAAAATTTGGAGAAAGTCAAAGAACATAAGCTCTCAGTACAAACAAACAAGAATCATCACCTTCTGTCGAACACTGGAGATCGTGTAATACACAAGCCTCCCCTAAGCAGAGACAGATATGAAATTCTGATCAACCTTATAACATCAGCTCTGACAGTAAATCCCTAATTACACATGAAAAGTTATTGCGTTGAAAGATCTTTATGAATACTATTCTACTGGAGATAAAGTTATCTTTACTCTCTTCTCCCAAAAAGAACAGCAAGAGTCTGCCATCTACTGACCAAAGTAAAGCTTCATTTGACTCCTGTTAAGAACCCAAATCACACTCTGCTAGGAATTTCACAGATCTGCTTTGTCTCTGGGTCCTTCTACTACTGTATGTGACAAAGGTAATGCCTTAGAAATGTTACAGTGGCTCACAGAATTTTGATATCCACTAAAATAACAATGTAACTAAGTCAGCCATTTATTTGTCTATTACGCATCATGAGGAATATAGCTCAACAGACTTTCACCAAATACAAAGCATAAACTTAGGATGGTCTGATTTAAATAGAGGTAAGGTCAGTTGTCAGGCAGAGTGGACGTGGTGTATGTAACAGCATGAGGACATAATAAATGTGAATTGTAACCAGAGGGGCCAGAAATTCTTTCTGCCAGAAACACGTCTGCTTTCAAGATATCTAAGCGTTTGTTTTCAAATACAATTATCTACCAGGTTACACAGTAAAACTGTATTCATAAGTAATCTCTGATTTGGAGGATATCAATCCCTCTTATGAGTGAGACCTTTATTTCAGGTAGTCATCCAACATTACATGATTCAGTTTTACCTGTGAAGGAAACTAAAGTTTCAGACTTCGTGAAAATAGGGGCAAGAAGCTCATCTTAAAAGCGGAGATGCTTCACCTGGGTGGGCATGAGGGCAGAGTGGAGCATGGGAAAAGGCAGAAAGGGCTAAAGTGCTTTCCCCGTAACTACAGCCCCACTCCTCCTTCCCCGACTGCTGACGTCTTTGATCTGTCGAGACCCAGCTTCTGGGAGACGGTACTATCTTCCACTTCATTCTTTGTATTTCTCCTGTGTGTGACAAAGCACAGCCAACCAGAGTTTGCCAAGGGAAGGAAGTGTCAAGTAAGGAATATAGGCAAAGAGAGATCCAGAAATGAGGAGAAGATACATTAAGTGGCCTGCAGAAAATTCAACCCACAATTTAGAAATGTTGATCAAAATTTCACACATTATGTCAGTACCAGACAAACCAGGATCACAGCATCAGTTAGTAGTTCCTCTGAGAATCAAACAGCTCTTCTCACCTGCAGCCACTCTCTCTCAATCAGGGCCTCAAAACCACGAATGGTCCTGCTTCTTGGCTCCAAGATGATCTGGGCCAGGGAGGTAACCTGGAGTGTGGAATCAGTTCCTTCTGTCCCATGAATCAGTACTGACGCTTCTTCCCTGAAAGGAAAGTCAGGGAAGAGGACAAATGGAAAAGGCCTGACATAGTCAATGAACTCTGTTTATAACGAACATTTATTGAGTATAAGATTTTAGTCTATTCAGTTTATTGAGTGCAACATTCTGCTCTGACTGGTAGCGTTTAGAATCTAAATGAGGCATATGATAGATAAGAGTTTCTCTTGGGAAAAAAATACGACTATAATGAACCCCAAATTTCACATGGCAAGACCTCTTTAAATTGTAACAAATTTCACATAACTTTTTAGCTGAATTTTTCTTTCCCTTTACAAAACCAAAAAGCAGCTCTTATCACAGAGGGCATTTACCCTTTGTGTTTTAATTGCTGGTTAAAGCCTTTTCTCAACCAACCTATAAACATACATTCAAATGATCTTTCTGACTTTGACTCTACCTTTCCACCATCAGCTGACTGTAAGAACACATTCATAAACTGTAGTGGATCTGGAAAACAAGACCTAGACCACACTCTCACACGACAACAGGAAGAAAGCAAACACAAAACTGTCCATCCAGAAAGTCAGTGGTAAAGACAGCACTGCATCATGAGACTCACGAGTGTCTGGGACCCCGTTATTCTAAAGAGAATGAAAGGAAACACCAAAACCCAATTTACTACATCTTCTCCCCTCTCCTTCTTCCACCTTTTCTGTTGAAACAATGAAGGAAATTTTAGAAACAAAAAAACAGCTTCACACAACAGCTTCAGGTTTGGTTACTACTGCCAGTTTTTTTCCATGTACATATATACTACACCCAGCTTTCACAGGAGGCAGTCTCCTCTGTTCTCACTCCTATTCCACACGCGTGCCCTTCCACGTTTGTACATCTTCAGAGCCAGGATATGAACAGTCTCAGGCACAGCTCGTTCACAGAGCTTCCTTCCGCTGCTCTTCAGATGCTGCATTTTCCACACATGGAAGGTGTGCAGCCATCCTGTGTCGAGCAAGTAGGCTGACACCCTTTTTCCAATGGCATGTTTTACTTTGCGTCTCTGCCTCATTTTGGTAATTTTCACAACATTTTTAAAGTTTTCATTATTATTACCACTGTTATCGTGATGTGTGACCAGTAATCTTTGATGTTACTACCGCGATTTGGGGGGCATCACAAACCCAGTTCATATCAGAAAGTGAACTGAATTGATAAATGCTGTGTGTGCGCTCACTGCTCCACTAACCAGCTGTTCCTCTGACTCTGTCTTTTCAGGGAGACTCTATTTCCTGGGTCACAACAATATTGAAATTAGGCCGGCCAATTAACGACCCTACAATGGCCTCTAAGTGTTCAAATGAAAGGAAGAGCAGCATGGCTCATTTTAGATCTAGAAATGATTAAGCTTAGTGAGGAAGGCATGTTGAAAGCTGAGACAGGCCAAGACCTGGGCCTCCTGCACCAGTTAACCAAGTTCCGAATGCAAAGAAACAGTTCTTGATGCAAATTCAGTGCTTCTCCAGCTAACACATAAATGAAACAGTGACACAGCGCTACTGCTCACATGGAGAAAGATTGAGTGGTCTGCGTAGAAGACCAAATCAGCTGCAATATTCCCTTAAGCCAAAGCCTAACTGAGAGCAAGGCCTTCATTCTCCTCCATTCTATAAAGTTCTGTGAAGGCTGAGAGAAGTGAGGACGCTGTAGAAGAAAAGCTGGAAACTAGCAGATGCTGATTCATGAGGTTGAAGGAAAGAAGCTATCTCTCTATAACATCCAAGTGCAAGGAGAAGCAGCAAGTGCTGCACACAGCAGCTGTAGAGTTACCCAGAAGATCTAGCAAAGACCACTGATAAAGGCAGCTACACTAAACAAGGACTTTCAATGTAGATGAAATGGCCTTATACTGAAAAAAGATGTCATCTAGAACTTTCATAGCTAGAGAGGAGCAATCAGTGCCTGGTTTCAAAGGACAGGCTAACTCTCTTCTTAGGGGGAAAATGCAGCTGGTGACTTTAAGCTGAAGCCAGCGATCCTTTGGAATTTTGCAAATCCTAGAGCCCTTAAGAGTTATGCTAAACGTACCCTGTCTGTGTTGTATAAATGGAACAATGAAGCCTGGATGACAGTACCTCTGTTTAAGGCAGAGTTTGCTAAATAGTTTAAGTCCACTGTTGAGACCTACTGCTCAGAAGAAAAGATTCCTTTCAAAACATTACTGCTCACCGACAACGCACCTGGTCACTTAAGGGCTCTGATGGAGAGGTACGAGGAGATGAATGCTGTTTTTGTGCCTGCTAAAACAACACCTATTCTGCAGGCCATGGATCAAAGAGTAATTTCCATTTTCAAGTTTTACTTAAAAAATATATTTCATCAGGCCATAGCTGCCTTAGCTAGCAATTCCTGTGATGGTTCTGGACAAAATAAATTGAAAACCTTCTGTAAAGAATTCACCTTTCTAGATACCATTAAAAACATCTGTGATTCACAGGAGGAAGTAAAAACATCAACGTTAACAGGATTTTGGAAGAAGTTGATTCTGGACCTCATGGATGCTTTGAGGGGTGTAAGACTTTACTGGAGAAGTCACTGCAGATGTTATGGAAATAGCAAAAGAACCAGAATTAGAAGTGGAACATGAAGGCAGAGAATGGTGGTTCATGCCTGTAACCCCAGCTCTTAGGGAGGCCAAGGCAGGAGGACTGCTTGAAACCAGGAGTTTGAGGTTACAATGAGCTGTGATTGTGCAACTACACTCCAGCTAGAGTGACAGAGGGCAAGACCCTGCCTCTTAAAAAAAAAAAAAAAAAAGACTGGATGCAGTGGGTCACAACCATAATCTCAGCTCTCTGGAAGGCTGAGGCAGGAGGACTTTGAGCTCAGGAGTTTGAGACCAGCCTGGGCAACAAAGAGAGATCTCATCTCCATTAAAAATTGAAAAAAAATTTAGCTGAGCATGGTGGGGTGCAGCTGTAGTCCTGGCTACTTGGAAGGCTGAGGTGGGAGAATCATTTAAGCCCAGGAGTTCCAGGCAGTAGTGAGCTGTGATCCCGCCACTATACTCTAGCCTGGGCAACAGAGCAAGACCCTGTCTCCTAAATAGAAGCCTGGTGATTTGACTGAGGTGCTGCAACTTCATAATAAAACTTGCGTGAATAAGGAGTTGCTTCTTATGAATGAGCAGGGAAAGTAGTATCCTGAGATGAAATCTACTCCAGGTGAAGATGCTATGAATATTGTTGAAATGACAAAAAAAAAAAAAGACTTAGAACAGTACATCAAGTTAGCTGATAAAGCAGTGGCAGAGCTTGAGAGGACTGACTCGAATTTTGCAAGCTCTCCTGTGGGAGAAATGCTATCAAATAGTATCACATGCGACAGGGAAACCTTTCATGAAAGGAAGAATCAATTGATGTGCAATCACCTTCTTTGCTGTCTTATTTAAGAAACTGCCATAGCGATCCAAACCTTCAGTAACCACCACCCTGATCAGTCAGGAGCCATCAATGGGGAGCAATCTACCAGGGTCAATAATCTCAAATACCAATAAAATTTTATTTATTTATTTATTCATTCATTCACTCACTCATTCATTCATTCATTCATTCGTTCATTGAGACAGAGTCTTGCTCTGTCGCCCAGACTGGAGTGCAGTGGTACAATCTCAGCTCACTGTAACCTCCGCCTCCTGGGTTCAAGCAATTCTCCTACCTCAGCCTCCCAAGTAGCTGGGACTACAGGCACATGCCACCATGCCTGGCTAATTTTTGTATTTTTAGTGGAGACAGGGTTTCACCATATCGGCCAGGCTAGTCTTGAACACCTGACCTCAGGTGATCCACCCACCTCGGTCTCCCAAAGTGCTGGGATTACAGGCATGAGCCACTGCACCCAGCCAAAGTGTTTTTAAATTAAGGTATCTACATCGCCTTTTTAGGCATGATACTATTGCACAATTAACAGGCTGCATTACAGTGTAAACCTAACTTTATATGCACTAGAAAACCAAATACTGATAATTAATGTGACTCGCTTTACTGCGTTACTTGCTTTACTGTGGTTTTCTGGAACAAACTGGCAACGTCTCCAAGGTAGGCCCGTGTATAACATTCTGTTCAGTGATGAGCTGCCATTTACTTCATCCTACAGCTGGACATTTAGGTTATGCCAATTTTTGTTACACTGCAGATGATGTACTTAGCTTGTTGTCTTCTGCTGAATCATTTCAGGGATCCGAATTTAAAAGTAATGGATTCCTCGAAGCCACTTACGGTTAGGTCAACCCCATTCTCAGGATAAATTCTAATGACTAGGCTGAAAGGGATGAGCATGTACCCTAAGTCTTCTGTATATATTGCGGATGTACCTTAATCATCTTGAGATATTCTAAATTTCATTCAATTCACTTAAAGTCTATTTTTAATGCTTTCAGTAATTAATTGTAAGGGCAAATTTTTGTGGAGGTATAAATAGTAGGCTAATATATATCAGAGAAAGGAACCCAAACATAGGAAAATAAACTAAAATCCTGAACCTTGCCAAGAGTCTGGAAGTCTCTGCCTTTGAGGCGACCAGCTCAAACTAAATGAAGGTGGAGATCATGAAAACAGTTCCGCACTCTGCACTGTGGGGTGTCTTCATCTGTATCACCGTGTTGTTACAGCTGAAAACCGAGACATTGTGGTGATACCTGTTTACTGCAATTCCTGCTTCGTAAGAAAACAGAAGCCTCCGTACTTACAATGTAAGGAGAACTCTGGTACACTTAGGTTAAAAAGAAACAAAACCCTCAGTATTAACAATATAGTTATGCATTTGTTATTTCTCTGCCACAGAACCTTGGTCTTTAATTCCCCATTTTATTAGCTAAATGGGCTTACCTAATGCCTAAAACAAAAAGAACAAGGATAGCCTGGCAATCTTGACGCCAAGGGACTCCACCTGTTCACAGTTCTGTCACTAACTTACCACATGATTTTAGCAACCCATTCTATTACAAATTTCTCTCCATCCATAACAAATTACATATATATTTCCCTCATACAGAAGCATCAGTAAAACAAATCAAAACCTCAAAGAAAAGTGCCATCTAGCCATGTGGTGATAAGCTTATACCTACCTACTGTTTCAGTGGAATCCCCTTCTTAAAAAGAGCATTCTAAGCTTCTGCAAGAATTTATGCCAATCCTTCTGCCTGTTCAAGTCTTCTGCCACAAGGCTCAAGGATTAGCAACCTTTAACTGAGTGAATAAACTAGAATCACTTCATATACTCAACATCACTACCATTAAGTTTTCTCAACTGGAGATCCAGATGTAATGGCACATATCAAGGAGTTTGAAATAAGACATCCCAGAGGTTACAAAGGATCGTTTTACTGTGCAACAATATTAAATGTTTTCTTTCATTCCTATTTCAAAAGTAAGGAGGTAAGCTTGTTCCTTTAAGAAAAAAATAAGAAAACTTCCTTTCATTCTTTTTCATAGTTTAAGAAAAAAATTGGCTAATTCATGATTTAAGAATGTTATAGAAAAAAAATAGGCCCATTAGTACTTAAAAATTTGTGTAACAGAAGACATGTAGATGTACATGGTTCACATCTATTTAGCGAACACTCTCTATGCAATGCCAGATGCTGCGTACGCACCTCATCAATAATGGGATGGTGCTGACTAGCCTACATGGTAATTTATTGCAGACTTTCGTATAATTTACAAATGTGTCTGGATAAACACAAAGTCTAGTTATCAGCGCACGTCCGCTCAGGAACGCTGAAACGCACTTTACCTGTCGATGCACTGAGCCACGAGGCAGGCAGCTGTCAGAATCTCTTTGATGTGAGTCAGCCAGTTAGAGGCCTCCAATTTACTGAGCCATCGGTCCATGTTATGTGTTTGGTCATTACAAGCTTCCACGAGTTTGATTAAGCTTTCCTGAAGAATGTGATACCTTTTAAAAATAAGAAAATAAAAAATAAAAAACCCAGAAAACAGAAAGATAAAGAAAACAAACCAAAGATTCAGCCTCCAACATATCCAAGAGCAAAAGTAGTTCAAAATACTATAAAAACATTAACCCTGCTATACAGTAATTTGAGGATTAAAGGTTGAAAAACTAATATTCACACATTGTTGCAAAGCTTAAAATGCCTGCCATGGTAACATATTCCTCATCTAAACAGATGAAACCCAGTTCACATAGGTGAACACCTGGCTAGAGGGGAGGCCAGAACCCTACATTTTGTGACAGGTCAGGAGACACAGCACCACTGACATTTGCAATTTTGTTCCCACCAATCTAACTCTAGAGACCCTGTGCCATCAACGGTCTTACCCAGCCCACCTCAGAGCCCACTGTTTCCTAGCTACAGCTCCCATTCACCCACCTGGAGACACTTACAAATGACTCTTTCACAGTGCAAACAAGAAACTGCAGGTGGAGGAAACTGTGTGAAAATAGGTCGATATGGGGAGAAATTAAATCTTTGAAGTCTTTGACTACAAGCCTATGTAGCAAATCTGTTCAGTGTGGCAACTGCTGATCCACACGCAGAGAAGCCGGCCTTGTGTTGATGAGACTACAGGGCTGGCTTAGAGAAAGAATGCTGGTGACAGGGACTCCTGCAGGCCTCCAAGAGCACAGCTTTCACTTACCAAACACAAGGGCTGGCTGTTCAAAAAAAAAATAAAACTGACAAACCTTTAGCTAAAGGTTCTTTCACTAAAAAAAGAGAGAAAAACAACACAAATACATACAATCAGAAATGAAAGATGAGATATTACAATTGATATCACAGAAATGCAGGGATCATAAAAGACTACTGTAAACAATTACACATCAACAAATTGACTGGATAATCTAGAAGAAATGGATCCATTCCTGGAAGCATACAACCTACCAAGACGGAGTCATGAAGAAAGAAAATCTGAACAGACCAATGATGAGTAAGGAAACTGAAAAAAAAACCTCTCATCAAAGTAAAGCTCAGGTCCTGATGGCCTCATAGGCTACCTGATTTTAAAATATGCTACAAAGCTACAGTAATCACAACAGCTTGGTGCTGGCATAAAAACAGACACATCAACCAATGGAAGAGAATATAGAGCCCAGAGATAAATCCACGCATCTATGGTCAATTGATGTTTGAAAAAGGCGCCAAGAACTTACAATGGCAAAAGGAGTCTCTTCCATGAGTGGTGGTGGGAAAACTGGGTATGCACATGCAGAACAAACTAGACCCTTACCTCACATCACACTCAAAAATCAACTCAAAGTAGATTAAAGACTTAAACATAAGACCTGAAACTAAAACCATTAGAGGAAAACACAAGGAAAAAGCTTTTTGACATTGGTGTGGGCACAGATTTTTTTGGATATGACCTCTAAAGCACAGGCAACAAAAACAAAAATAGACAAATGAGAATGCATCAGACTAAAAAGTATTTGCAGAGCAAAAAGATCGACAGAGTAAAGAGACAACCTATGGAATGGGAGAACACGTCTGCAAACAATACACTGAATAAGGGGTTAATATCTAAGATTGTAAAAACTTTAACTCAATAGCAAAAAACAAATAACCTGATTAAAGGACGGGCAAGACCTGAATAGACATTTCTCAAAAGAAGACATACAAATGGCCAATGGGCATTTGAAAAAAAAAAAATGCTCTGCATCACTTATCATCAGAGAAATGAAATTCAATACCACAATGAGGTATCACCTCACACCTGTCAGAATGGCTATTACTAAAAAGACAAGATTAACAAGTGTTGAGAATATGGACAAAAGGGAATATGGACCACTGTACAATGCTGGTAGGAATGCAAATTAGTATGGCCACCGTGGAAAACAGTATGGAGGTTCCTCAAAAAATTAAAGATGAAACTGCAATAAGATCCAGTAATCCCACTGCTGGGTAAATATTCTGAATATTCAAAATGAAATCAGGATCTCAAAGAGGTATCCCCACTCCCATGTTCACTGCAGCAGTTTAGCCAAGATACAGATTCAACCTAAGTGCCCATCAATGGATGAATGGATTAAGAAAATGTGGTATGATACACAATGAAATACAATTCAGCCTTAAAAAAGAGGGGAGGCTGGGCGCAGTGGCTCACGCATGTAGTTCCAACACTTTGGGAGGCTGAGGCAGGTGGATCACTTGAGGTCAGGAGTTTGAGACCAGACTGGCCAACATGGTGAAACCCTGTGTCTGCTAAAAATACAAAAATTAGCTAGGCGTGGTGGCGTGCACCTGTAGTCCCAGCTACTCAGGAGGCTGAGGCAGGAGAATCACTTGAACTCAGAAGGCGGAGGTTGCAGTGAACCGGGACTGTGCTACTGCACCCCAGCCTGCATGACAGAGCTAGACTCTATCTCAAAAAAATAAAATAAAAATAAGAAAGAGGGGAAACCTTTCATTTGCAACAGATGGATGAACCTGGAAGACATCATGCCATATGAAATAAGCCAGGCGCCCATGCACAGAAAGATAAACACTGCATTAACTCACTTAATATGTGGAATCTAAACAAGTTAAACTCATAGAAACAGAGAGTAGAATGGTGGTTGCCAGAGGAAGAGAAAGTGGCAGGAGGGGTTGGGGGAGGGGAGAGACAGATATGGGGAGATGCTGATCAAAGGTTACAAGGTTTCAGTTAGGAGGAGTTAGTTCTGCAGGTCTGCGTACAGCACGGTAACTGTAGTTACAAATAATACACTGTATGCTTGAAAATTACTAAGAGAATAGATATTACATGTTCTCACCATCCAAAAAAATGGTGATTATGTAGGGTGATAGGTTAATTCACTTAATCAGTTTACAGTGTATACGTACATATATCTAAACAGCACAGTGTACATCACAAATATGTCATTTTTACTTGTCAATTAAACCTTATAAAGCTGACAAAAAAAAATGAGAAGATGACTAGCCAATTACTGACCCTAAATTAACGCACAGGTTAATTTGAACACGTGTAATTTGTGAACAGCTAACACCTTGTCCACTATAATTAGCTTCTAATAAGAGTCCTTACTATCTCCAGAATCTTTTACCTCTCAATGGACTTATGAATTCGCCTCCATTGGGGATAATGGGCTTCTTGTTCAAAGCCACCTCCTTTGGCTCTGGCTTGCTGAGCCACGTTCAGGGATCGGGTGTCAATGATGTAACCACGACTCCCCGCCCTGAGGGTAGCATTGATCAGCTTCTCGTCTTCCTTGCACCTCCTCCCATTTGTGCCGGTGAGTGGCTGGCCACTCCGCATAATTACCTAGAAGCACAGTTAAGCTGAAAATTCAACAGCAGTTGCTTTTAAAGTTTCTGAAAACAGAAAGAAATTAGCTAGATTAAGAGTATCTCAAAAATAATCCTGTGACGCTTTGGAGATGGATTTGATCCATAAGCAAAGAATATTTGCATGTATTGACAACAATTGGCAACTATAAAAGATAAGCCTTGAGCTTTTACAGTTTCTCTGTCTCAAAACACTTTCACATAATAACTCATACCACCTCTTTAAGATCAAATATTGCAGTTCATTTAGTGTGTGGGTCAAACACCCGTAGACTTGGCCCTGTAATAAAGATAATAATGGCCTATGAGCCAGTACATCTTGACTTCAACTAAACATGCATAGAGTTGGCAGGTTTTAACAAGAATCATAGAAAGCGAAGGCACCAGTGGCAAAATTTAAAAGTTCAAACACTGCTCTCATTGTTTGGGAAATCATTTTCAATACCTCGAAAGCTGAGTGTCTGTTACGTATTCTCCAGCGGCCTCTACCATCCTGTTCAGTATTCCAGGCTTTAATTACTTGTTTCCAAACACTACCCTACCAACTATCTATCTGGAAATGTTTGCTTTCGAAACTTTTCTCAAGTAATCAGTGTCTGTTATACTAACCTCTTCGCTGGTGAATGGTTTACAGTTCTTTCCAGAGACCGCCATTATAAGGAAGTTATCTTAGCTCCTTGTTTAATCCAGTGTTTACTAGAGTTGTGACTAAACCACATGAGCATCGCTCTTCTACCTTTGAAAATAAATAGCTCTGCTCAATTTGCCTTTCACAAGGAAAGTTGGTAAGAAAAATTACATTATTCTGAGCAGAGAAATTTCTCGTTTTTCTACCAGAAGAATGTTGCCATAAGCATCAAACAGACACTAGTTTCCTTTGCCCAGTGTCTCTCGGGGCTTCTGCGAGGTCGAGCAGGATCATGGAAAGAATTCAGTCACATCCTCACCACAGAAAACACTCTACTCCTGATTCCCTAAGGCTGACATGAAGGAAGCCCTAGTGGTGGAGACCAGGACAATCATGTCAATGAACAGACAGACAGAAAAAAGGAACATTTCTACGAAAAGATCCCCCAGCCAAACCTTTCGGTACATCAAACAGCAGCGCTGTGCACTTACCCTCTTACTTTTTTGGTGATAATAGCTTAGTACTGGGAAGCGCCCTCCATGTCGAAACGTAGCCACCTTCCGAAGAGTTTCATCATCAATGGATTCAGGCACGATGACAATTGGTGGGTAAGTGGGACAGACAGCAAATTCCTTATTGACATAGCTTAGCCTCCACTGACTGGTCTGAAAAACACAGAATACTTCAAAGCTAAGCAACTATCTCAATGTCACAAAATAATCTGAGAAAATTTAAAAGACCTTAGAGATCAACTTTCACTGACAAAGAAGCCACTTCTCAGGAACTGAATAGGAGGCTATCTAGTTTACACGTAAATGGCTGCAGAGAAAAGGAGTTCTACGGTTCAGGGCCAGCTTCCTGCATTGCTAGGTATCAGCAATTCCTAGAAAGTTCTCTCTCATACTGAGCAAAACTTGTTGCTCTGTAACTTTCTGTACTGGTTTTTACCGAACTTTCAGACCACACGGGACAAGTTCCCTATTTCACATGGTATCCTATCAAATGTTTGAAAGATGCTTGTTTTTCCTTAGTGTTCTATTCTCCAAGTTAAATACGTTAAGCACACCCATAATTATCATGGCCAGCATCGTCCCACTTCTTCCTTTTCTGGGTCCCATTTGGTTTGTTAATGACCCTCTTGAAGCACACGTAAGACTGCAAGATTCCGGGTAATGCAGCCCCAGGACGGACAAGAACACAGCTACTATCTAGATCAAGCCCTTTGTTCTTTTCTGCCATTTAGAAAAGGAGAAAAAAGTACTAAGATTGGTAAAACCTTTCTTAAAACAGTAACAACTCACTACTAAGGAAGGCTAAGCTTAGGAGTCGATGAAATAATTGCAAACTCGATACACTAAGGACTATCAAATGACAACTTATTTTAAAAATCAGAACTGAAAACTGCTTCAAGACTGTCAAAAGGTTTTACAGCAAAAAAAAAAAATCAAATTATATGTAAATTTCAGCATGTTCTGTATATCTGAGCTGGCCTAACCTAACATAGTATGTTAGATGTACTCTGACAAGATTATCACTTTTTAAAAATGCTTTTATAACATAGAGTATCACATTTTTAATTTTTTTCACTTTTCAAATGTATTTATGTTACCAGTTTTAAAAACATAGTTTCTAGGCCAGGCACAGTGGCTCACACCTGTAATCCCAGCACTTTGGGAGGCCGAGGCAGGCAAATTGCTTGAGCCCAAGAGTTCAAGACCAGCCAGGGCAAAATGGCCAAACCACGTCTCCACCAAAAATGCAAAAATTAGCCAGGTGTAGTAGCACACCCTTATAATTCCAGATAGTTGGGATAGTGAGGTGAAAGAATCATATGAGCCCAGAGAGCTGAGGTTGCAGTGAGCTGTGACAGCGCCACTGCACCCAGCCTGGGCAATCAGAGTGAGATTCTGTTTCAAAAAAATAAATAAATAAACGCACAGTTTCTAAAGATTTATTATTTTTAGAAAAATGGAGTTACCTGTTCCTTGCTAGCCCATCCCAATTTGCTTTCCCCAAAGGCAATCATTTTCAGTATTTTTAGCTTTTTTGGTGTTTAACTTTAAATTTCTGTTTTCTTTTGTTTTGTTTGAGATGGAGTCTTACTCTGTCACCTAGGCTGGAACACAATGGCACAACCTTGTCTCACTGCAACCTCCGCCTCTCAAGTTCAGGCAATTCTTCTGCCTCAGTCTCCTGAGTAGCTGGGATTACAGGCACCCACCACAACGCCCAACTAATTTTTTGCATTTTTAGTAGAGATGGGGTTTCCCAACGTTGGCTAGGCTGCTCTCTAACTCCTGACATCAGGTGATACACCCACCTCAGCCTCCCAAAGCGCTGGGATTACAGGTGTGAGCCACCACGCCGACTTACCTTTAAATTTCTAAACAACACGATTACACTGTTATCTCTTGAATCTTCACCATGGTGTATTATTTCTTGATTTCCTACTCTGGAGAATGACAGGACTCTCCACTGATCTGCAGTGCCACTTGTGTCAGTCCAAATGTGCTGTGTTCTCTATCCCATCCCACTGGTCCACTTTAGTAACTTCTATAACTTTCAAAATAAGTTTGACACCTAGTAGGCTAAGTCTCCTCCTCTTACTTTTTTATTATTCAAAGAGTAACTTGGCTCCTCTTGGTCTTCTGGTCTTCCATGTAACTTTTATCAAATTCAGTGTAAACCAACTGGGGTTTTTAATAAGACTGTATTGACTTTATAAATCAGAGAGAATGAGTTACATCTTTAGAATATTAGGTCTCTCTATCCATGAGTATATTGTCTCCCCGCTTATTTAAGCTTTTAAACATTTTTCCATAAATTTTTATAATGCTCTCAATAAAGGTCTTACTCTCTTCTCTTAGATATATTCCTAGAAACCTCATTATCTTTTTGCACTTTAACTGCATGTCTTCAAATTGTGTTTGGTGTAGAGAAATCCCTATGATCTCAAGATTCTTTCCTTTTCCCATGTAGACAAGCATAGAATCAACATATAACAATTTCTCTGCCTTTATTTCAACCCTTATACCCTGTATTTTTCTTCCTTGTCTTACCGAGCTGACTAGGAAGAGTAATAATGGACATTCTTGCCTCGTTCTTGAACCTAGAGGGAATAATACAAGATTTGCTTTCGGTGTGTTTCTGGTTTTGGTAGCCATCCTTTATCAGATTAGATGAATTCCCTCAAATCCAACTCTAAGAGCTTTTATCATGAATAGACATTGATCAATTTTTTTCCTCTATTAATCTAACACCATGCAGGTAATTTGTCTTTTCTCTAATTCTGTGATACTCTCTTTGCTTTATTGTTCAGTAGCTGAACAACATGTATAAAGATGTTTTTTATTATCTTGTATGGTATTTGCTGGGATACCTTGGCTTAAGGGTTCAATAACTTTTACTGATTCTGGAGAATTATCAACCACTATTTATTTGAATATTGTCTTTCTTCTATAGTCATCATCTTTTTTTTCTTTTTTTTTGAGAGACAGTGTGCTCTCTAATCCATGCTGGAGTGCCGCAGCATGATCACTGCAATCTCAACCTCCTAGGCTCGAGCACTTCTCCCATCTCAGACCCCCAAGTAAGTGGGACCACAGGCATATGTCATCACACCCAGCTAAATTTTTTCATAGAGATGGGGCTTTGCCATGTTCCCTAGGCTGGTCTCAAACTCCTGAGCTCAAGTGATCTGCCTGCCTCAGCCTCCCAAAGTGCTAGGATTACGGGTGTGAGCCACCATACCCAGTCTCCATCATCTTTTATCCTAAACTCCCATGTGATAAATATTGGATCTTCTTCCTTTATTATGCATGCATGTGTCTAACCTCTCTGTTTTACCATCTTCTTTCTCTGTTCTGCATTCTGAGTAATTACTTCGGATCTATATTCCAAATCACTTATTCTCCCTTTAGCTGTTTCTAATCAGCTACTTAACATTTTCCTTATGCCAGTACCATACTCTCTTGATTACTGTGGTTTTACAAGTTTTGTAATCAAATATGTAAATCCTTTTAACTACTGTTTTCTCAAAGCTGTTTTGACTTTCCATATAAACTTACACACTTAAATTTGCATTTCCATAAAACTTGTATCATCTTGTCCATTTCCACAAAAACACCTATTAGAATTTTAAGAGGGATTGCACTGACTCTATAGAACAATTCGGGGAGAACTGCCACTTCTATGAGCCAAATCCAGCCTGCTGCCTGTTTTTGCAAATAAAGTTTACTAGAACATAGCATCACCCATTCATTGATGTCTTGTCTGATTGCTGTTTTCATGCAACAGCAGCAGAGTTCTGTAGTTGTAATAGAGACCACATGACCCACAAAGCTTAAAACATCTATTATCTAATGGTCCTTCACATGTGTCAGCTAACTGCTGACCTTAACCATATTGTCTTCCAATTGATGTATACAATATATCTCTCCTTTTATTTAGATCTCCTGTAACTTCTTCCAACAATGTTTTATGTCTTTCAGTGCATAATCTTGAGTTTCTTGTTAAATTTATTCCTATTTTATTCACTGCCAGATTGCTTGTTGCCAATTCAATTAGTCTTTGTATACTGATCTTAGATCAACCAACTTGGCTAAACTTGCTTATTCTAGTCACTTTAGTACTTTCTGCTCTTATTTTTATTATTTTTTCTTTCTAGTTACTTTGCTCTTTTTTTCTAGCTTCTTAAGTTGGTGCTTAGATGAATGATTTGATTTTTCTTTCTTTTCTAGTAAAAAAATCTTAAAGCTGTAAGTTTATCTCTAACCCCTGCCTTAGCTATCTGTATTCCACAAATTTCAAAAGGTTACATTACCATTATCATTTAGTTCAAAATGTTTTTTAATTTCTTTGACACACAGATTATTTACAAGTGTTTTGTTTAATTTATAAATACTTGGGGGTATTCCTAGATATCTTAGTATTATTGATTATTAATTTAATTCCTTTTTGATCAGACATTATATTCTGGCTTCAATCCTTTTAAATGTATTAAGATTAGCAACGGAGAAGTCAACTTCACCTTATTATTCTTCAAAAGAAGTGATCATTTTCACAAGTCAAATAAGGTATTGGGTTACTTCTCATAACCCACAGTTCTGAAAAGTTAACTCACAGCTGAGGAATAGAGTTTAAACTCTTGCTCAGGAAGGAAGGAATGCCAGCCATCTTCTATCACTTCAAACATAGGACGGTAAAAGAAAGGATACATCAGAGTGATGGAGTCCAGGGTAGACAATGCCTGGGGGCAAAAAGAAAAGAAGACAAAAAAGGAACACCCACAATTGGAAACACATTCTCACTGAGAAATTAGTATTAAGCAAAGGTGGTCTAATAATGATGGGCACCCAGTATGTTTCTCTAACATTGTATTTATCGCTAGATACAATTACAGTTTTATCAAAGAAATTTCCATGCTTCCAGGAACTAATAAGGCATCTGACATGTAACACTCAAAAGTGTTGATGGGAGGAAAAAACAAACAAAAGATGTACATACCAATTCTAGAAGAAAAATCAAGTAACACCTCTTGACATCACTTAATAAAGTTTAATAAAAAGGTCCAAGTATTTCTGGGGATCAGTTTTTGGTTAGTAAGGTTTTGTCTCAAAATCCAGTTATAGCCTAAATAAACATATGTGAATTATTTGAAATCAGGGTTAGTAACTATAAAAAAAGGATATACAGCTTTGAGGTCTATAGTCAGATGGGAATCAGAATGCTGGACTAAAACTCCAAATGCTAGCTGTGCAGTAGGAAAGTAACGTAACCACTCCATGCCTCCGTTTCCTCAACTGTAAAATGGGGGAAATAACATACCTACTTCATAGGGTTGTTGGATAGTTAGAGATAATATATAACAGGCACAGAACAGTGTCTGGCACATAATAAAATCTAACTAATTCCAGCTTTTTATTTTAGACAGAGTTTTGTTCTTGCCACTCAGGCTGGAGTGTAACGGCACAATCTCAGCTCACTGCAACCTCTGACTTCTGGGTTCAAGTGATTCTCCTTCCTCAACCTTGTGAGTAGCTGGGCTTAGAGGCACCCACCACCATAACCAGCTAATTTTTTTGCATTTTTAGTAGAGATGTGATTTCACCACGTTGGCCAGGCTGGTCTCAAATTCCTGACCTCAGGTGATCTGCTCGCCTCAGCCTCCCAAAGTGCTGGGATTACAAGCATAAGCCACCATACCTGGCCAATTTCAGCTATTATACATGCTCTACATTCTTAGAAATTCCATCAGTGTTCATTTCCTCCCTTCCTAGACTGGTATGCCATTTGGCCAGATATCAGATCTTTATGCTGCAGGGATCCATTCTCGAATGGGGGCAATAACCCTATCAACCCCAAATGAACCTATATTTATCTGGAGCACTTGAATCCTGGGTAATAGACACAGGAAAACCTGAGTAGATGAGAGGAACAGACAGAACATTCTCTATCACCAGGCAGATTCATCCTTCTGACAGGGGTATGAGGGAAAAAAAGTATTTCTACAACTGGAAAATAAAAAAGGATACCATATCAATTAGCATAATTCGAACTGCAGGAATGATGGAGACATTCAGCTGGATGGGAGGAGAAGGCCCAACAGCATGCTCTCAGAATGCAGTTACCTCCCTCCAGGTTAGAGGAAGATCAGGCGTGCAAAAGGATAGGCCCATGACTACTTAATAATAGATCGGACATGTAGCTCAGCAGTTTAGCAAAAACAGCTCCAGCCAAAGTTATTTTTCTATCCATTTATAAAGCATGAAACCGTCTCCCCTACCTCACAAAATAAAATATGGAGAAGCAGGGCTGTATAATCCATCATACACACACACACACACACACACACACACACACACACGCACGTATTTTTTCCTACTTCTATATTGTCTTTGGCTGCCAATCATACCAAACAGAAGCAGAATGGCCAGTGTCCATGTCTGATCTAACTCAGAGCTGCCATCAATCAGCACCACCATTATTTTAAATGCAAGTCAGCAATCACTTTGACAGGCAAGAAGCACTCATATTTCATCTTGAGACCTTATGTCACTAGAGAGAGGTCTTTCCCTTTAAACCACATTAATGCTGAGAGAACTGAAAACATTTCAACCCCAAAGGCAGGTGAAGCACAGAAAAAGAAAAGCTTCACCAACTTATTGCAACAATTTAGGGAATTGAGCACTTGCCGGCTATTCTTCCAATGGGATTCTATGTGTGGCAGCAGAATATATTTGGGTAGATGGACTCTTGATTACAAAGGACAGCTCAGCTATGCTATGTGAGAAATTCAATTATTACTCATAAATCATGTCAAGATGTAGTCAGGGGAGGATGAAGGGGTAGCAGGAGGGACTGTGTGCCAGGAAAAGGATAAAGGACAGGTTAGCTATGTTATTCACTGTGCTATGGGAACATTCAACAAAGCAATCACATTCTGAGGTCAAATGAGCTCATAATTTATGGCTTCTTTTCAGTCATAAGGGCTCCTATATAATGAGTCAGTTTCTAAAGAACTTTGGGTAATGTATACAGCTACTTAAACAACTAATCAGCATCAGCAAGTGGGAATACACTTCCCCTTTCTCTTCACCACAGGGCCTCACTACAGGCAACATCTCTGACACAGACCAGCCAGTCATCTTACAGATCACTTGTCACAAAGAAATAAGAAAAATGTAGACTGGTCAGTGAAAATCCAACCTCCTAACAGAAAAAAAAAAAAAAAAAAGCCCCACAAAACCCACAAACACACACATGCTCAATGGAAGCAGGTAATCTTCCTGTGGCCAGATAGTGGGACACTATTTCAATTTAATAGTCTATAAACTACATGCATTCTCATTCACCTTAACAAATTATATCAAATCAACATCATGCATTACTTCCAGATGACAGATGTGTAAGACAAACAGCTCAGTTCATCTTCTCATTTCCTTAAAATTCAACAAAGGCAGAAAGAAATGTGTTATGTGCCATTTACTTGGTACTATAACAGTTTTTCTTCTATTTCTCTATTCCTGTTTTAAAAATCACTAAAATCCTTTCTGATTGCTGAATATTCAACATGGATGAATCTGGAGAACATCATCCTCAGCAAACTAACACAAGAACAGAAAATGAAACACCGCATATTCTCACTCATAGGTGGGTGATGAAAAATGAGAACACATGGACACAGAAAGGGGAGTACTAAACACTGGGGTCTATCGGGGGGAAAAGGGGAGGGCCAGTGGGAGGGGGAGGTGGGGAGGGATAGCCTGGGGAGAAATGCCAAATGTGGGTGAAGGGGAGAAGAAAAGCAAAGCACACTGCCATGTGTGTACCTACGCAACTGTCTTGCATGCTCTGCTCATGTACCCCAAAACCTAAAATCCAATAAAAATAAAAAAATAAAAAAAATCACTAAAATCCTACTTGACAGATTTTTAAGATTTTCTACCCATTTTAATAGCTAAGCTGATAGGACTTTTTGGACACAAAGTCCAGATTAGTTATATCAATATGGGGAAAAAAATCAATGTCCCTATAGTAGTCTAGAAAGTACTATAAACCTAAGATTAATTGATATAATTTAACGGCAATAATTAAAAATGAGGCAATTTAAAATTTCAGTGTATATCAAAATAGTTGGTTACCATGGAAAGAAAATAGTATGAGCTCTTCAATTAAACCACCCAAGTAGTATTTCTATTATTTGTAATCTAAACCAATATTCAATATTGTTTATATAAATATAAAGCAAACGCACCCTGTCTTAAGCTCACTGATACCTGAAAATTCAGGTTACTAAAAGCAAACAAAAAACTACAATCACTGGTGATAGTTACTTGCTTTAGAAAAGAAAGAACTTTTTGACAAGATGCAAGATGGCTGAATAGGATCAGCTCTGGAGCGCAGTTCCCAGCCAGAACGCAGAGGGTGAGTGATCACTGCATTTCCAAACGAGTTTTTACTGCCCACAGACCAGGAGATTCGCAGGCAGAAAAGTGTCACGAGTTTCCAGCACAGCTGATTCAGCCAGCACAGCTGCATAGAAAAACTCACACAAATCTGGGTGGCCGTCTGAACTGGTACCTAGAACACCTGGAAGACAGAGTCATCCATTCAACTGAAAAAAAAGGGAGCTGAACCAGGGAGCCAGCTGATTGGCTCAGCAGGTCCCACCTCCAAAAAGACCAGCAATCTGAAATGCTCTGGATTGAGAGTTTCACATTAAGCACAGCTGGACCTGGGACAGTCCAGATCTGTTGGGGGAAGGGTAGTCCACAATCACTGAGGCAGTCCACCATCACCTATGCAGTCTGCCATTACTGAGGCAGTCCGCCATTACCAAGGCAGTTCTAACTATACCTCTATAAACAAAATCACAAGGAAGTTTACACAGCAGCTGGGCAGAGACCATGATCAGCTCAGCAACGCCTCTGCTGGCAGACTGTGATTAGGCTACCTCCTTGCTGGGCAGACCATCTCTGAAAAAAGACAGCAGCACATCTGGAACTTACATATAAACCCCCACCTTCCCACGTCAGAGCACCTGGGGAAAAAATGGTGGTTATCAGTTCCACTGCAGCAGACTTAAACATACCTGCCCAGCAGCTGTGAACAGAACAACGGAGCTCACAGCTCAGCACCTGAGCACCTATTAGGGACACACTGTCTCTTCAAGTAGCTCCCTGACCCCTGTAAATCCAAAGAGACACCTCACAAAGGAGAGCTCAGGTTGATATCTGGCGGGTATGCTTCTGGGACAAAGGTAACAGAAGAAGAAACTGGAAGCAACCCTTACTGTCCTGCAGCCACCAGAGGTGATTCTTACAACAGCCCTAAAAGATAGGTACTATTATCCTTGTTTTATACAAAGTATAAAACGAATCAGAGAGATGTTAAGTACTTTACCAATGGTCACAAGCTACCACGTGGTAAAATGAAGAGTCAAACTGTGCTATGATTTAATAACATATTAATACATGTAATAATGTATATATATAGATGTGATAATAATGTACAATATCATATTGTAATTTATTAATATTTCTATTCAAATGTTTAGGATTGCATTAATTACAAAAGATATACTAGTATATTCAAGAAGAAACAATTTCACTTCTAGCAGCTAACCTGGCAGAGAAGTGAAGAGTGCACTGGTTAACTCACTAGTGGTTTGCAGTGTCTCTAAGGAAGTCCTCAGAGGGCAGGTGGGAATAGTCGAGTCAATAAGGGCTTCCAGGTCTCCAAATCCATACCTACTCAATGTAATGTCACCAAAAGCAATTTTTTTTTTTTTTGAGACAGGGTTTTGCTCTTGTTGCCCAAGCTGGAGTGCAATGGCATGATCTCGGCTTACTGCAACCTCTGCTTCCTGGGTTCAAGCAATTTTCCTGCCTCGGCCTCTCAAGTAGCTGGGATTACAGGCATGTGCCACCACATCTGATTAATTTTTTATATTTTTAGTAGAAACAGGGTTTTATCACGTTAGCCAGGATGGTCTTGAACTCCTGACCTCAGGTGATCTGCCCACCTCAGCCTCTAAGTGCTGGGATTACAGGAGTCAGCCACCACACCCAGCTGACCAAAAGCAATTCTAACTGTATCTATTTTATTGGTTTAGAATTTCATATAAGATTTTACTCGAACAAACCTCAAGTAAAGGAAAGAAAAAAAAGTTTACAGTCCTAGGCACAGAGAAAGTAACAAGGTTTGTATAGTGAACATGAAATATCAAGCAAAACTTTACAATTTCTCCTAAGAATCTCTTCCCTAAATCTTCTGATGGTTTCCCCAAATAAGAACTCATACACTCAAGTGAAACAGTACCTGTTATTTAACCGATATGAACTCATGGAAATTCCATGAAGCCACTGGAAATGCAATTCCATGGAATTCCAAGCAATTCATGGAACTGGGGCTATTCATATAAAATCAGTAACACCAGACACTGCTGGAAGTCAAGAAAGCTTGATTACACTCATATAACAATGAACCAGGGTAAGGCTTTTCCTATCAGTCTTCAGTATTTGAGTCGGAGAACATGACTAAATTCCTAATGAAGAAATGTAAGAGCTACACTGAATCATAGTATAAAATTATGTTCCATTAGATTTTGCTTCCAAAATACTTACCTCAATGGAACTGGCTATATTCAAGCATTCCTCCATTCCAGGAATATCCAACTGAATAATTCGAAAATCTTTACATTTTATGATGATGGTACCCAGTGATCCCACAAATCTGTAAGAAATTGCAAATCACGTTTAGGAATACATGTTACTAACTTTAAATATATTATTATTTATTTGAAAAGAGGATGCAGTTGTAGTTACCATCTACATTAACTTTCTTCTCAATTATTCTAATTAAGGAAGAAGCAAGGCTACATCATTAAAACATGAGCCATACATTACTCACTATATATATATTATTTTAAATTTCGAATGTATAAAGTGATTCACATTAGGCTAATTGCTTTGATGGACATTATTTGGGGCCTTATTTCAAAGAATAGGAAAAAGATCTGTAACTAATATATTAAGTGCTTGTAGAGAGATATTTCTGGAGCAAAGGAAAATAGTTCATTTCAGATTTCATTTACTTCCAAGTGATACATACTATGTATCAATTTATAAAAAGTATATTTGACAAAATATAACATCCATTTCTGATTTAAAAACATGAAAAACCAAAAATTTCTCCGCAAACTTGGAATAGAAGGGAACTTCCTTGACCTGATAAGAACATTTACAAAAAAACAAAAACAAAAAAAAAAACCTAAATAGCACACTTAATGGTGAAGGACTGAATTATTTCTCTCTCAAACCATGAATAACACAAAGATGTTCACTCTCATCACTTCCATTCACCATTGTACTGAAGGTCATAGCTAGTGCAGTAAGGTAAAAAGAATAAAAACAGATTGAAAAGGAAGAAGTAAAACTGTCTACTTGCAGATGATGACTGTGTAATGTACCCAGAATTTTCTTTTTATTGTCAATTCTTTCCCAAATTCATCTAGTAATACAACCTAATTCCAAACAAAATCACAGCAGACTTTTATGTAGAAACTGAAAAAGTGTTTCTAAAATTCATACAGAAATGCAAATGTCTTCAAACAGCCAAAACAACGCTGAGTAAGAACCAAGTTGGATGGCTAACACTACATAATTTCAAGGCTTACTATAAAGTTACAGTAATTAAGACAGTGTGATAATGACATGATGATAAAAAGATCAACTGAACAGAAAAAAAGGAGTCCAGAAACAGATCCACTTACACGTGAACAAAGACAGAAAGACAATTCACTGAAGACAAGTCAGTCTTTTTATCAAATGATGCTGGAACCATGGATACCCTTTTGTTTTCTGTTTTTTAAGAATTTGAATCTCTATCATGAACCGTACAAAAACTAACTCAAAATGGGATTGTTTACCTAAATGTAAAACCTAAAGTTATAAAACTGCAGAAGAAAACATGAGAGAAAATATTGTGACCTTAGAGGTGAGACAATGTTTTCTTAGAGACACTAAAATCCCAATCTCTACAAGAACAAAATGACAAATTGGACACCTTCAAAATGTAAAACATCTGCTTGAAGGACAAGGTTAAAGGGCATGAAAAGGTTAAGCCACCGGGCATTCCTGTAAGCTGTTGAGGACTTCATCAACGGGCTACACTAAATTTATTGTTAAAATGTTTCTTCCTTCAACAATAAATTAACCTTACCTTACAGTAAGTTTTTTACTTTATAAACTTTTTAATCTCTAACTTTTTGTCTCTTTTGTAATGACACTAGGCTGAAAATAAAAACACACTATACAGCTGTACAACAATATTTTCCTTCTTTATATTCTCATTCTATAAGCTTTTTTCGATTAAAAAAGTTTATTTGGTAATCTTTCTTGTTAAAACCTTAGACACAAACACGCACGTTAGCCTAGGCCTACACAGGGTCAGGACCATCAGTATCACTGTCTTCCACCTCCACAGCTTGCCCCACTGGGAGGTCTTCAGGGGAAATATTAGTAACATGCAAGGAGCCGTCATCATGACGGTGCCTTCTGGATAACTCTTGATGGACTTGCCTGAGTCTGTTTTACAGTTAACGTTCTTCAAGAATTAAAAGGAGTACAGTCTAAAATAACAATAACATGTCTAGTGTAGTAAATACATAAACCAGTAACAAAGTTGTTTATGGTCATTTATAAATATTATGTGAGGTATGCAATTGTATGTGCTATACTGTACATACAACACAGCATACATAAACGACCGGCACCCCAGGTTTGTTTATACCAACATCACCACAAACACAATGTCACTGGGCAAGAGAAGCTTTTCAGGTCCATTACAATCTTATGGGACTACCATCATATATATAATAAATCACATGACTGTATGTATATACAAGCATACACTCTCAAAACTCAGTAGGAAAGCAAATTATTCATTACAAATGGGCAAAACATAGGAACGGTCACTTAGCAAAAAAAAAAAAAAAAACACATATGGATGGCAAATAAGCACATGAAAAGATGCCCTACACCATTAGTCATCAGGGAAATGCAAAGTTAAACCGCAATAAGGTATCACTTATCTCTTGGAATGGCTAAAACGTCAAAGACAGACCACAGCAAGTGAGGACAAGAATGTGGAGGAACTAGAACTCTCACACACTGCTCATAGGAATGTAAAACTGTAAATACAAGCACTTTGGAAAACAGTTTGGGCAGCTTCTTAAAAAGTAAAACATATACCCACATCTGATCCAGCCATTCCACTGGCAAGTAAATGGCTTGCCACCCAAGAGAAAAAAAACCACATGTTCATACAAAGACTTGCATAAGAATGTGAAAAACAGCTGTATTTAACAGCCTCAAACTGGAAACAACCCACGTTTCCATCACCAGGTGAATATATGAACTATGGAGTACTACACAGTGGACTAGTACTCCGCAATAAGAATAAACTATTAATATATACAACATGGACAAATCTCAAACGAGAGTACTGCATGATTCATGTTGTATTGACGTAAATTTCTAGATAACGCAAACTCAACTGTGACTACTTGGAAAAGAAGGAAGGGATTACAAAAGGGCACCAGAAAACTTTTGGGGGTGATAAATTCATTATCTTGAACTTACGGCGACAGTATCAGCATGTGCACATACATCAAAAAACATCAAAGTTTACACTTCAAAGATGTTTAGTGTTATGTGTTGACTGTACTTCAATAAAGCTGTTTCAAAAATCACTGTCACTCTGCCTGAGCTGGAGGCAAAAGACACATAACCAAATTATCAGTGAAAAGAATGTGCAAGACATATGGTTATTCTTTTGAAAATTTTCACATCATCTACTCTTGTCATACTAACTCATTTTGTAAAGTAAATTTTGTTTTGTTAGTCTGGCAGGTTGTACTTAGTTGTTATAAAGTATAGTGAATGGCTAGAGGAGTTAAAAATAATTGTTACCTTATATCAGAACAAATATGCTATAAACTATCAAGGTATTCTCCATTTATTTGATGTTTCTAGTCAATTACTATTACTTATAGAACAGTAGGCCATGAAAAATATTTTCTAAAAGCGTAAGAGCTCCCTCCACAAAATTCCTATGATTCGCATCAATTGTCAGATTCAGTTCTACTTTATCATTTTCTCCTTATTGTCCCATCCATGCCCTGTATATACTCCTATCAGAGCATTTAAAACACTTTACTAAACTTTCTAGCTTACATGTTTATTTCTTATAATGGCTCTTAGTTGTTTTCAGGTAGAAGCCATGTTTGATTAATTTGTACATCCCCAGCTCCTAGTACAGCACCTAAAATATACACAATCTTGAAGCTCCATTAAGGGACTTAAAGGAGGATCTAAATAATGTACCATGTCAATTTGACTCCAATTAATCTATAAATCCAAAACAATTCATTTTTTAAAAATCCTACGAAACCTGTATAAAGTCTGTGGTCTAGTGAGCAGCACTGCACCAATGTCAGTGTCCTAATTTTGATAACACTACAGTCATAAAACATGTCACCATTAGGGGAAGCTGCGTGGAGGATTCTAAAACCTCCATGCACAATTTTTTGCAACAGCCTGTGAATCTTTAATTATTATTAAAGACTTAAAAATCCCATGAATATAGCAAGTTTTCCAAAACTTCATGGAAACATAAGGGTCGAAACAGTGTTGTCAGCTTTAAAAAAAAAAAAAGGAAAGTGGGGCAACTAGCACTATTTGATATTTGGATATATCACAAAGCCATAGGAGAAAATATGAGACGACTAAAGAACAGATTAATGAACCAACAGATTACGACAGAGTGCTGAGAAATAGACCATACATAAGGATAACTTGATATAAATCAGGCAAGGCTGCGATGTCAGGTGATGGGATTAAGAAAACTGGCTTCCTTGCTCTATGGAGAAAAATAGGTTCCTATCATAGTTGAAACAAAGATAGAATCCAAATGAATTAAAGACCTAAAAATGAACAGTAAAACTATGAAGCTACTATGGAAGAAAGTGTAGGGGAACATCCTGGTGATTTGGGGACGGGGAAGGAGTTCTTACGACAATCCATATACCATAAAGCAAAACATTGGCAAGTTTTGCATTAAAATTAAAGACTTCTGTTCAACAAAGGACATCACAGATAAAATAACAGATGAATGACAAACTAGGAGAAGATATTCATAACGCCTAAATAAAGAATGAGTACCCACAGAGTACACAAGGAACCTGCAAATCAACATGAGAAAGACAATAAACCCAATGTTTATAAGAAGACCACAGAAATTAGGCCATTCACAGAAAGGAAAAAAAAATTAAGTATATTGCTCACAAGCATATATGATTAAACTCACTAATAATTAGTAAAATTCCAATGAAAATAAAGCAATAACTATTTCACAATCTTCAGACTGGAAAAATTAGAAAGACAATACCAAATGTTGGTAAGAAAGTGGAGAAGAGGTACCTTTCCTGCACCATAATGGGAAGGCAATCTGCAGTCATCATTCTGGAAAGCAGTCAGTTTGTGCAATCAGTTATGCACCTACTTTACGGCTGAATCCCATCCTAGGTGCAGTCTCAGAGGAATTATGGCACAAGATTATATCAGGGGACATGAATGAGTATGTTTAACAGAGTTGTTTGTGATAGGGAGTTGGAGGTTACCTAAAAGATCTGTCAAGAAAGCTTTTCTAGATACTTTGGAATTCTGTGCTACTGTCAGAAGCAGTGAAGTGGTTGTACACACAGCAATACGCAGAGACTTTGAAACAGTACTGAAACAACATAGGAGCGGAACAAGATCTACAACATACTCCCTGTTAGGCAAATTAAACGCACACATGCATGTGTGCACACACCCATGCACAACTAACAGGGTTGTCTACAGGGATTGTTGATAAGGCAGGAAATGGGAGTGAAAATTATGGATGAAGAAAATAAAAAACAGAGGAAACCTTTTAAGGAATCAATCATGAAAACGATGAGTCATCAACTGGGTAGAATTAACTCAATTTTCTGAGGTCCATTAAAAAAACCAGGGGCCGGGCGCAGTGGCTCACGCCTGTAATCCCAGCACTTTGGGAGGCCGAGGCAGGTGGATCACGAGGTCAAGAGATCGAGACCATCCTGGTCAACAAGGTGAAACCCCGTCTCTAATAAAAATACAAAAATTAGCTGGGCATTGTGGCAGGCACCTGGAAATCCCAGCTCCTCGGGAGGCTGAGGCAGGAGAATTGCCTGAACCCAGGAGGTGGAGCTTGTGGTGAGCAGAGATCACACCATTGCACTCCAGCCTGGGTAACAAGAGCGAAACTCTGTCTCAAAAACAAAACAGGTATAACTGTAAAACTTGTTGTACAACCTTATATGTTGAAAGGATCAGATAAAATGATGTTAGCAATGTATATGAAAGCATTCCACAGACTTGTAAAGCATTATTCAACACAACTTTCTACGAGGTTCAGAGAGGTAGAGCAGCTTGCCCAAAGGCACTTGTTTAGTAAGAGGCAGAACCGAAGGAGTCAGCCTTAATGACTTTCTCTCTCACCTCGTTTACAATTCACCAGCAAGGCAAGGCAGCTCAACCTTCAAAAACACATCCCAAATCAGATTCCTAGTGACTACACTACTGCTTTTTTTTAAAGACAGAGTCAGGCTCTGTCACCCAGGCTGGAGTGCAGTGGCATGATCTTGGCTCACTGTAACCTCTGCCTTCCGGGTTCAAGCAATTTTCCTGCTGCAGCCCCCTGAGTAACTGGGATTACAGGCGTGAGCCACCACGCCCAGCTATTTTTTATATTTTTCATAGAGATAAGTTTTCACCATATTGGCCAGGCTGGTCTCGAACTCCTGCCCTCAGCTGATCTGCCCGCCTCAGCCTCTCAAAGTGCTGGGATTACAGGCATGAGCCACCACGCCCAGCCCACCATCACCTTTTATGTGAATTACTCTACTCTAACTGGGCCTGCTACTTCCACTCTTGCCCCTGTACAGTATATTTTCTGCCAGCAGCCAGAACCATCTTCTAAAACATCTATCAGCTGCTGCTTCCTAGCTTTCACCTCTTCAAGGGCTCCCACTGAAACCGCTACAATGGCCTGCAGGCTCTCCAGGGTCCGGCCAAGGCTTATCCCTCCAGCCAACGTCTCTACCACAGACTTCCCCTACTCTCTACTTCCTGCCCTGCAGCCACACTGGCCTCTTTGTTCTTCTCTGCACATGCCAATCACGTTCCCCATCTCAAGTCCTTGCATTCGCTGTTCCCTCCGGCTGGAATGCTCTTCCTCCAGATACTCTTATTTCTAGCATACTCATTTCGTTGCTGTCTCTAGTCAGACACCACCTGCCTTCTCTGAAACGCTTTCTAAAGACACTGCCTCCTGGTGCTCTCTATCCTCTCATCTTCTATTATTTTCCTTCCTGGCACTTATTACCTGACATCATCATACTTATTTCTGTCTGGACTTACTGGATTGTCCATCTCCCCGGCCAGTACCTAAGCACCTTGTCTTAGCGACCACTGCAGCCGCACAGCTCAGACAGTGCACATGGAAAACAGACGGATGTCAAGATTTCTTGAAAGCACAAATTTAACAAACTCTGATCTGATCCCTCCCCAATGCTCTTTCCAGTACACCACACTGTTTCCCAGAAAAAGGATAAATGTGTGTACAGTTCATCATTCTCTCCTAACAAAGTCAAAGGTTCACGTCTCATCTGCCTTCTTCTTCACTCACTACAAGGCCCAGCACCTTGTAAATGCAAGGTAAACAGGAGGAAATGAATGAATGAACAGTAACCACCATAAAAGGTAAATCAGAAAGAAAAGACAGGTGATGGTCATGGAGAGGCTAATTTGTATTCAATGGCATTGCTGACCATTTGTTGGTCAATCCTTTTATTTCCTATGTAGCTGTATGCCCAAGTCACAATTAGAAGTTTCAAAGGAGATAAAAAGGAATTTCAGTTGTGGAATTAACAGAAGAATCTCTGAAGGAGATGGAGGACGAAACAGTTAAACCGAACACTCATAGACGAGTAACAAGCTCACTGCCTGTGAACTCCTGAAAGATAAGAGCTGTAAAATATTTTATTCATCTCAGGGTCCTAAAAACCTCACAAAATGTCCAGAACATAAAGGCATTTGGCGAATGTTTAACAAAGTTGGGAGAAGTAAGGCATTCCCGCAGAGGGAAGAAGTCAATAAAATACACAGATGACAGAAAACAGGACATACACAAGCACCAGGAAATGGTGAGGACTGGCTGGTAAAAAAGGGATTCATGGAAGGAAGTGCAAGAAGGGCTCGTTAAAAGAAATGGCAAGAAATAAAGAGAGAAAGTAGTTTAGGGCCAGGACACAGAATGCCATGAATGACCAAGGGATTTAGATTTTCAATAAGAGCCCACTCAAGACCTTTTTTTTTAGACGGAATTTCGCTTTTGTTGCCCAGGCTGAAGTGTAGTGGCGGAATCTCGGCTCACTGCAGCCTCCACCTCCCCGGTTCAACCGATTTTTCTGCCTCAGCCTCCTGAGTAGCTGAGATTACAGGCGCCCCCACCATGCCTGGCTGATTTTTGGTATTTTTAGTAGACATGGGGTTTCATCATTTTGTCCAAGTTGGTCTCTAACTCCTGACCTCAGGTGATCTGCCAGCCTTGGTCTCCCAGCGTGTTGGGATTACAGGCGTGAGCCACCGTGCCTGGCCCACTTAAGACTTCATACAGCAAAAGGGGACTTGAGACTAATAAGAGCCTCCTGCGCAAATCAATCATTCAATCCACCACTGCTTCACCCGAACTTCTTGCAATTCTATCATTAGAAATTATTATTTTAGGCCCAGCACAGTGGCTCATGCCTGTAATCCTAGCACTGTGGGAGGTCAACGCAGGCGGATCACGGGCCAAGAGTTCCAGACCAGCCTGGCCAATATGGTGAAACCCCGTCTGTATTAAAAAAATACAAAAAATTAGCCGGGCATGGTGGCGCGTGCCTGTAATGCCAGCTACTCAGGAGGCTGAGGCAGGAGAATTACCTGAACCCAGGAGGCGGAGGTTGCCGTGAGCCGAGATCGCGCCATTGTATTCCAGCCTGGGTAACAAGAGCGAAACTCAGTCTAAAAAAAAAAAAAAAAGTTTAGCCAGCCGTGGTGGCGCGCACCTGTAATTGCAGCTACTCAGGAGGCTGAGGCAGAAGAACTGCTGGAAACCAGGAGGCGGAGGTTGCAGTGGGCCAAGATTATGCCACTGTACTCCAGCCCGGGCAACAGAGCTAGACTACACCTCAGTAAAAAAAGAAGAAGAAGAAGAAGAAGAAAAGAAATGATTATTTTAAGGCATACCCTCTCTAGGAATCTTCCTAATACCCAAATCCTCCTGTGAAGCAACAGAAACGTTGTTATCATTCACTTACCCTTCAGAGTAAACTGGATAATCAGTTTGCCCTCTCCTGACTAGAGAGAAGCCACTAGGGAGATGGGAATTTTGAATACAGATCAAAGTATAACTTTTTGACTTCGAGGAACTCCCTTGGAAAGATAAAAGTCTGGAGTGCAAAAAGGATAAAGAGGTTAACTGGCCCCTGCCTTTCCTTGAGAGCCAACCCTGTTCTTTCAGGAAGCAGAACTGGGTAAAGATGAAGGGAATATATCAGAACCTCCCTTAGTGAGAATAAAATTGATGACCCAGAAGAAACATGATAAACTGAATATTTTTCAGAAATTTAAAAAATGGTTTTGCGGTATGAAGACACTCATAGCTTTGTATTCGGATCCGTTTTCATCAAAAATGGTAAAGACTTTATCTAAAGCACATCCAACCACAACTTCATGAACAGCAATTGACAATACCGATTCAAGGAATACGACAGGGCCAGAAAAAATTATAGAGACAATGCAGAAAATCCACCCAAATGGTGTTAAGACCCAGAAACGATCATCTGAAAACTCCATCTAGGTTTAATGGAAACCGGGTCTTCCATCTGGACGGCTTTCTGCTTGGTAAAACTCAATTCCTGATTCTAGGCCACAGAGGGCTGCCCCATCTTGCCTGCCAGCTGGGCGGCAGGATGGGCTGAAAACGCCAGGAAGTGCTCCCCGGGGCGCCCACAGGGGACCCCCCGGGTCCCCTGCGGGGCTGGGGTGGGACGGGCACTCACCGCTTGTCGATGGCGTCGATGTTTGAATGGAGGAGCCACAGCTCCTCCGTGTTGTCCTGCCGGGAGGACAGGATGAGGTGGTGGCCCGTCAGACACAGGGTGCCCTCGACGGCCGGGTAGAAAGGCCGGTGCAGCACCACATTGTCCACCCGCGGGGTCTTAATCAGCTCCGCAAACTCCATGCTCCCCCCGCGGCCGGAGCCAGGGAACCGAGTCTGGGAGGTGCGAGGCGGTTACCCCGCCGCAGGGAGATAAGCGGAACTACCCGGCGCGGGGCTGGCCCGTGGGGCGGGGCTGCCGGACGGTGAGGTTGGGCCCGTCCCAGAAAGGGTGGGCGCGGCGAGGCCTGCAGTCGCTGGCACCGGCCGCGGGAGACAGCAGCTGGGGCTGGGTTAGGCCCGGGCGCTTCTCTAGCACCGCCCGGTCCGCTAGGCCAGGACTCGGCCACAGAGAACGCCTTTCCACAGGCCCAGGGACCGCCACTGCCGCTGGGCACCCGGTCCCGCCTGGGCAGGCAGAGGGAAGAAGGAGGATGCCGCCTAGGGGCCCACTTCCACGCCCTGGCCGCTAGGGACTCCTGGCGGAAGTGGCTACTTGCTGCTGGAGCTCATAGCAACTCTGGGCGGAAGCAACCGATCTCGAAACTCGGAAGACGCGGTCGTAGCCGGAAGTCGCTACCTTCTAGGTACTCTAGAAATGCCTCCGAAACCACAGCCAGAACGGAAGATTTGAGTTCCTACGAGAAAAAAGCTTGTCTTTTGCCTTCACGCCCTCCCGCTGCCCTTCTCACCCACCTAAAAATATTCCTCAGCAGAAAAGACCGAAGAAGAAAGGACGACGGGGGGAGGTCCCTGCCTTGCTTCCCTATTCTTGAGTAGAGCTCCCCTCCAGAAGCTCTTCAGAGTGTGGGGCTCCTGTTAATTGTGACAGTTGTTATGCGTTAGCTATGAAGAGATGGGAAGTATAGGATGGAGGTGGTGACTGTGACCTTGGGGAATCCTCCAGGGGTCAGGGAGGGACACAGGGTCGCTCCACAGGCTCCCCGAGAGCGCCGCGCCACGACGTGTGACCTAGAGCAAAAAAGAGGAAAAACAAGAATACCTGTGAGAGGAAGCCAAGTAGCTGTAGATGCAGTGCACAGAAGAGCAAGTTACTTGACTTGGTGGAGGCCACCCAGTTACCCTGCAGCAGAGCCTGGGCTTCAGCCTGCAGCTATGAAACCCAGCGCATCGGTCACCACCGCACAGCCTCCCCGTCAGACGCCCTCATTACGCCAAACATTGATCCAAATAATTACTCCTTTGCTTGTTCCTTTCCAACCGCCCACTTGAAACTGACATTTTTATTCAAAAATAGGAAATAGAAGAGCAATATGTTTGAGTGCTGGTCTGCTGTGCCTTCATTGACCTTTGAAATCCTCACCATCTAGTACCTAAGCCCAGCAAGTTGAACAAAATCTCACAGAATTCACGAAGTAAATTGCCACAACCTCATCAGGTCATCCAACACTGGTCCATGCTTTTGATTTTGCCCTTCTTAAAATGTTCCCTTCTTAAAATAAAACACTTTCTAGAATTGTTTTAAATGACATAAGTAAATGCCTGCCAACTTGGTGTCTTTATTGCACAGTTACTTCAGACTGGATAATAGTAGCTATTTTTTATAGTTTTACAGTTTAATTGCTTTCATCCAAATGGATGGAATCACTTCCTTTGTAATATGTAAAGTGTTTTAATTCATTTTTATATTAGCATTCCTGACAGCATAGGTATCCACCCCCTGAAGTTCCCATTCTATAGTACAAAATTGCACATAAGTATTTTTTTTGTTCCATAATGGTCCCCCACAGCCAAGTGTATACTGGGACCATGCATACTGGGAGTCAGCTTTATTTTACAACAGAGCTTCACTTTACCCCTCCAGCAATTAATTGATTCTGGGTATTTATTAAGAACTTTAAATTTAATGCAAAGGCTGTTAGGTACCACCAGCCCAGCTCTGGCAAAGGACTGCTGGCATTGTTTATCAACACCTTCATCCAGATACACTGCCATCCTAATCCCAGCTCGTACTTGGGCCCTTGAAAAAAATGACCTGTCATTCCAGGGAGGAACTCTCTTTGAATTAATGAATCTGGATGACTTATAAGACTTCAAAAGTGTGGAAATGACAAAGGTTAAAATGACAGGATGAGCAGTAAACCTTCTCCAGTCCTATCAGAACAACTTTTTGAGGTTGCATTCCCACAGAAACCCATTAGGGCCCCAATGTACACATACACTTTATACTGAAAGAAGCCAAAATTCTGGTCAGGCCCTGGGAACCTTGAAGTCATCAGTGCAACCACATCCTGGAAATTAACCCTCACACGATCACATAAGTTATGCAGTGAACCAAACTGCATCATTGAGAAAACCTCTATGCTTTTCATGGAAACCATTCCTAGTTGAGGGTACATTTTTCACAGTCTAAGTACTGTGAACGTGGGCCCACTAACTGAGTCCACATTTTCCCTTGGCCACTTTAGCAGGGACCTTAGCCACTCGGGAAAGTGAAAACAAGCTATCCCACATGTTCACCATGGAAAACCATTTTTGTCTTGAAAGACAAGGAGGCTTTTCCCTATGCGGCATCAGTTCCTACTATGTTTACCAGCCAACTGGACTGGAACCTGCACACTTGCTTTTTAGCCTCTGAAATCAATGTAGCTCCCAGCCGGGAGCAGTGACTCACGCCTGTAATCTCAGCACTTTGGGAGGCCAAGGTGGGCGGATCACCTGAGATCAGGAGTTTGAGATCAGCCTGGCCAATGTGGTGAAAACCCATCTCTACTAAAAATACAAAAAATTAGCCAGGCATGGTGGCACACACCAGCTACTCCGGAAGCTGAGACGGAAGAATTGCTTGAACCCTGAAGACAGAGGTTGCAGTGAGCCAACACTGTGCCACTGCACTCCAGCCTGGGTGACAGAGAGACTCTGTCTCAAAATATATATAAATATATATATATGTAGCTCCCAACAACTGATCCCTCATTACTCATTATGCCTTTAACTCCCACCGCCAGGCACAAAGGAGCCATGCAACTCATATGCCTTTTGGTCAGGCTAGGAATAACAGTGGGAGTAGAAATGGGAGTTAGCGGGCTTGCAGCTTCCCTATCCTATTACCGATGCTTGTCCAAGGATTCTGTGGAAAGCTCGGATGACATTGCCCAAAGTATCGTCACCATACAAAATCAAACAGACTCCTTGGCAGCAGTTGCTTTACAAAACAGAAGGGGCCTGGATTTCCTAACTGCTGGAAAAGGCGACTTATGTCTTTTTCTAGAGGAAGAATGTTGTTTTTATGTCAACCAATTCAGATTAACAAGGGATGCCACAGGGAAATTAGCTGACCAGGCTTCTAAGATATGACAACAGCTATCTGAGTCATGGGCCTCCTGATCAAAAATCCTAAGTAGGAGTTGATGGCTCCTCCCTCTGGCTGGCTCGTTATTAATCATTATACTTGCCTTGGTTTTTGGACCAAGTTCGTTAAATCAATTAACCATATTTATTTCCTCTGGCCGAGAGACCATCAAGCTTCAGATAATCATGCAACAAAGTTTCCAGCCAGTTCCAAGTGAAGATTCCACTCCTGGCCATCAAGAAGCTGCCTGTCTCCACTAGACAGAGCCGGGTGAGAGTTCCGTAATCCCAAATAGGCAGGGAACACACCCCAAGTCAGCATGAAGTAGTTACAGAAGAAAGACCAGTGGTCCCTCTGTCTCCCATCAAGATTTATGGGGATCGTGTTTCACAGAGGGGAAATGAGGCAGGAGAATACAGTCTGGAACCCAAGGCTGATTCTTACCTCCTAGAACTGGATCATAAGGGAAACCCCAACTCTCCACACCGAAATAACAAAAGAAGTAGAGGCTACTCCCTTTGCACCACATTGCAAATGAAAAATGGAAAGTACCTCTGATTGGTTCCCTCCTGCAATCAATCAGACAAGGCTTGTTGCAAGACAAGCCTTCTTGTGTAACTTTGTAACTTCACTTCAGTCTCTGATTGGTCACCTCCCATGACCAATCAGACTTGTTAAGGGTCACTTCTTCATTTACATAGAGTGTAACCAAGTAACCAATGGGAAACCTCTAGATGGTATTTAAACCCCAGGCCTGCACTATGGCTCACACCTGTAATCACAGCATTTTTGGAGGCCAAAGCTGGCTGATCACGAGGTCAGGCGTCAGACTAGCCTGGCCAATATGGTGGAACCTCATCACTACTAAAAATACAAAAATTAGCTGGAAGGCTACTGGAGAGGCTCAGGCAGGAGAATTGCTTGAACTTGGCGGGGGTGGAGGTTGCAGTGAGCGGAGATGCACCACGGCACTCCAGCCTGGGTGATAGAACAAGAAGACTCCACCTCGAAAAAAAAAAAAGAAAAAAAAATTATACCCTAGAAAATCCTGTAACCAGTGCTATTGAGCAAGCTTGAGCTTGCTCCCACTCTGTGGCGTGTACTTTTGTTTCAATAAATCTATGCTTTTGTTGATTCATTCTTTTGTTGCTTTGTGAGTTTGTCCAATTCTTTGTTCAAATGCTAAGAACCTGGACGATTTGTAGTCAAGACTCTCGACCCGTACCAATAATATTTTTACACCTGAGAGTCCAGTCTAAAAACAGGAATCAACAGAGTAGGGAAAATGAGGGGGATAATTTGTAAAGCTATTTTTTTAACTGGAATTTTTGACTTTCTTCCTTTATGTGGATCATTATAACAATTACCAATTGTGGAAGGAAGAATTTAATTCCAGAGTGAAGAATCAGGGAAGGTTTCAGGGAGAAGATATCTTTTGAAAACAGGACGTTGAGGGATGAGGTTCATACTGTGAAAGGAAAGTTGCTGACAGAGATATCCAGTTTAGTGATACCTGCTAGAGGTGGGAATGCATTTTTCAGTAATTCCATTACCTTCTTCTTGTGGTTTCTTTATGTGGGGGGCGGGCACGTGAAAACCTGGTTTCATTAAGTTGAAAATGTTTCATTTTCTATAACTCCATGAACTTTTTTGCCCATGAAAGAAAATTGTCAGTATCATGCTGGATTATTGTAACAAAATGATTTAAAAATTTCAGCTCCTTGTGTTGAAGCTCAAAGCATAGAAAGCTCTTGAGATCTGAGGACAACAGAAATTCAATTGTAAGGAATGGAGCGTAAAGGTGAGGTAGGGGACTGAGAGCACAATATGTCGCTGCTTTATATGAACAGTAGATGGCGGTGGAGTTTAACAGTAATGGGATAAGCTTCCGTCCTATTAAAATAATTCAATGAAGCTATAGTCAAAACATATTCTTGTCCAAACTGTCAGGACATAAGGATCTTAGAGAATTCTGATAACCCAATGATGACAGTGGCATTTGCAACGCATGTAAAAGACTTACTCAACACCTTACCGATGTTATCCTTATGATCACTGTGTGAGATAACAAATGGCATTGATATGTAATCATCCACATGTCATTCCCCCAAATGGCCAGCCATTGTCAGTCAGTGCCTACCTGGTCGTCATCACTGTGGGGAACGGGAACGACAGGTTCGACATGGCCATTGCCCGCAGGGAGTCATGCTAATTTGGGAAGGCTAACACATGCCACACTAGGGGAGAAAATACAAAAATCAGTGTTGAGTTTTGAAGTGCAGAGTTCTGTTCCTGGTTTTGTGTAACCCTCCTAGGCTGTGAGTACTTAGCAGAAATTGCGGCCTTTTGAAGGTGGTTTGAACAAAGCAGGCTGACCATTTCCAAAGCTAGCAGGAACATCTAAGGCAGAGAAGACGTGGCCTGTGTGGCGCCTAAGGAACAGCCGTCCTCCGTGTGCTTAGTCCTTTTGTACTGACAGTCAGCAGCTGAAACCAACCCCGTAACCTCATTCCAGGTCTTTCTTCTGTCTTCCCTGCGTCTCCCCCAAGCAAACCTATCACCAAATGGATAATTCTATCTTTTCCTGTCTCTGAATCCCTCCACTTCTCTTCATGCCCAAGGCCACTGTGTTAGCTCCGACTACCATCATTTCTCATCTACTTAACAGGAGAAATATTTTAATTGGTTTTCTTCCTCCTAGTGGGGTTCTCCTTCAACTCATTTATCCATTTGGAAGCTCTTTGCTTGTCTTTGAGCTAAATCTTTTTTTCTCTTTCTTTCTTCCCTCCTTCTCTTCCTCCCTCCCTTCCTTCCTTCCCTTAACATATAAGGCCCTTTGTGATTTAGTCTTTTAGGCAGAGATCACCATCACGGGTCTCATCTCGGCTATTCTTTCCCTGTCCAGCCGTCTCTAATCTCCACCCATACTCAGTTTTCATGCCAGCTATCCTTAAATAGCTTGCCGTTTCCTCCCGAGACTCTGCACCCAGCTATAACCTCGTTACTACATGGAAGCATGGAACAGGGACCAGCATCATTGGCATCCCCTGGCATCTTTGTTAGAAATGTCTCACTCTGAACCTACTGAATCAAAATCTACATTTTAATAAGATTCTTAGACAATTTATACATACATTAAATTTGAGAAAGCAGTGCTTTAAATGATCTTTGTGTTCTTCCT